TTTCTGGTATTCTTTTCCTTCCTTTCTTCTTTTTAGTGATTACCCTGGGAATTTTGCTTAACTTCTTAAAAATGTGAAAAAAATCTATTTTGAATTAATATCACTTTAGTGCCAATAGTATACAAAAGTTCTGCTCCCATATATTTCTGTTTCTCTCCATTTTTGTTATTGTTGTCACAATTGCATCTTATATTGTGTTCCCACTAACAAAGATTTATTATTTTTTTTAATACACTTGACATTTGCCTTTTATATAGGACAGAAGAGAGACATTATAAGCCCAAAGTACAATACTTCTAGCTTAGGTAGTTACCTGGTGTTGTTTATTTCTTTGTATGGCTTTGAGTTATTGTCCAGTGTCCTTTCATTTTTGCCTGAAGAACTAACTCCCTTTAGATTTATTGTAGGGCAGATCTACTAGCAATGAACTCTCAGCGTTTATCTCAGAATGCTTAATGTCTTCATTTTTGAACAATAGTTTTATTGAATATAAGATTATTGTTTGATTTTTTTCCCTTCCAGCACTTTAAACATATCATTCCAGTGATTTGTACAGTTTCTCCTGAGAAATCAGCTGTTAATCCTATTTAAAATTTGTAGGCATGATAAAAACTGACAAAAACTGCTTCCAGAGTCTTTGTCTTTTGATTGATTATGTCTCCCTGTGCATCTCTGTTTGTGTTTATTACAGAAGTTGATTGACCTTATTGGGGGTTTAGACTTGTGTCTTACTAACTTTGGGAAGTTTGCAGCCATTATTTCTTTAAATATTCTTTCTGTCCTATTTTCTCTTGCCTCTGGATCTCTGATGGTGTGTGTGTTGATAAACTTAATTCTGAGGTATCCCCCTAAATTTGTGTGTTGAGATCCTGACCCCTAAAATGATGGTGTTAGGAGATGGGGCCTTTGGCAGGTGGTTAGGTCATGGGGGTGGAGCCCTCATAAATGGAATTAAAGCTGTTATGAAAGGAGTCCTGGAAAGCGCTCTTGCCCACTTCTGCCATGTGAGGACACAGCAAGAAGTCACTGGCTGTGAACCAGGGAGTAGTCCCTCACCTGACCATGCCTGCACCTTAATCTTGGACTTTACAACCACCAGAACTGTAAGAAATAAATTTCTGTTGTTTATAAGTTACCCAGTGTGTAGTATTTTGTGCTAGCAGCCCAAATGGGCCCATAAGACACTTGATGTCCTACTGGGGCCTTAGGCCTGTTCCTTCTTTGTCTGTTCCTCAGACTGGATTAAAAATAGCTGGCCTATTTTTAAATTTGTCGGTTCTTTCCTCCTGCCAGTTCAAATCTGCCATTAAGACTCTGGAGTGAATTTTTTTTTTTTCCTTCATTTTGGTTATTGTATTTTTTAGTTCTAGAATTTCTATATTTTTAAACATAATTTGTTTCTTTATTGACATTCTCTGTTGAAAAAGAGTTCTCCTGGTTTTCTTTTGTTCTTTGTCCATGATTTCTATTACCTCTTTCAACATATTTAAGACAGTTTATTTAACTTCTTTGTCTAGTAAGCTACGAGGTCCTACGAGGTTTTCCTTGTAGGAAAAATTAACTCTTATGCATGGGTCATACTTTTGTTTCTTTGCATGCTTTGTAATATATTGTTGAAAACTGGGTGTTTTGAATGTTATGAAGTAGTAGCTCTGGAAATCAAATTCTCTCTCCTCAGAGTTTGTTTTAGTTGTGTACTGTGGTTTGTAGTTGTTTGGTGACTTTTCTAAACTATTTTTGTAAACTCTTTGTTTCATTTGTTCTCTGAAGTCTGTTTCCTTAGCTTGAGATCAGCTCATATTTTGAGATTTTCTTGAGTGCTTGGAACCAAATGGGGCAGGGGTGGGGGGTGAGAAATAAAAACAAAGAGTTAAAAAGTAAAACCCTTCTAACTTTGCAGAATGGTTCTGTGCTATAGCTCTCCTTATATACTTAGCCAGACTGTTTACAATTCTGTTTTAACCTTCATTTCTTGCTTGTGCTAAGCCTAAAAATCAGTCAGAGGTGAAAGCTTTGATTCTTTTCAGATCTTTTCTGAGTATGATTCCTGTGCTGAGCAAGTATGTGACTTCCTAAATTCCTTCCTTTAGGATATGTGGGCACTTTTCAATGCCCTAATTTCCCAAAGAAATTCTCTCCCCAGCTTTTCCTCCTAGGCTTTTGGTATGTCTGTGTGCCTTAGTTGAAATCTTTTTCCCCAGGTGGCAGTAAGTTGTTATTGGCCTTACAAGGTTTTTGAGAGATGCCCTCCATGTAGCCACTTTTCTGCCCAGAGAGAGTTCTAAGTTAGTCAGAGCTTCAGGTAGCCCCCAGGCTGGGGAAAACAGACAAACACAATTCTTTCAGAATATGAAGTCTTCTCTGTTCTCTCTTGAACCAGGGACTGGGATCCTACACTGAGAATGAAGACAACTGTCTTCAAAGACCACTGTGAGGAGAGGGTGGGGCACGGAGTTGTCAAATGTGCTATGCAACTGTCCTACACTTTTACGTCGCCAGTTTCTTGAGTTACTGTTGGCTGAGTTGCTGTAAATTTCTGATTATTTTCTGGAGTTGTGACAAAGCTGATTTTGACAGTTTTTGCTTGATTTTTCAGTGATTTGTGGGGGTAGGGGGGTGGGACCTTGAAACTACCTACTCTGCCATTTCCCTGATGTCACTGAAGAAAGGGATTGAATGGTTATTCACAGGCACACCTTTGAGATACTGTGGGTTTAGTCCCAGACTCCTGCAGTAAAGCCAATACTGCAATAGAGCAAGTCACACAACTTTTTTGGTTTATTAGTGAATAAAAAGTTATGTTTATACTATAGTCTCTTTAGTGTGCAAGAGCATTATGTCTAAAAAAAATGTTTGTTGTTCAGTCGCTAAGTCCTGTCTGACTCTTTGCAACCCCATGGACTGCAGCACGCCAGGCTTCCCTGTCCTTCAGTATCTCCCAGAGTTTGCTCAGACTCATGTCCCTTGAGTCAGTGAAAACAATGACAATCCAACCATCTCATCCTCTGTTCCCCGCCTTCTCCTGCCTTCAGTCTTTCCCAGCATCAGGGTCTTTTCCAAGGAGTCTGCTCTTTGCAGCAAGTGGCCAAAGTACTGGAGCTTCAGCTCTAGCATCAGTCCTTCCATTGAAGATTCAGGGCTGATTTCCTTTAGAATTGACTGGTTTGATTTCCTTGCTGTCCAGAAAACACTTTATGTGGCTTCCCTGGTGGTCCAGTGGTTAAGAATCCACATGCCAATTCAGGGGATATGGGTTTGATTTGTGGTCCAGGAAGATACCACATGCCATGGGGCAACTAAGCCTGTGTGCCACAACTACTTGAGCCTGTGCTTTAGAGCCCAGGAACTGCGACAAGAGAAGCTACCACAATGAGAAGCCCACACACTGCAACTAGACAGTAACCCCTGCTTGCCTCAAGTACAGAAAGTAATGAAGACCCAGAGCAGCCAAAAAAATAAATAAATAATTAAAAAAACCCTTTATTTATAAAAAGTGCTAACTACCATCTGACTATACAGAGTTGCCGCAAATCCTTCAATTTTAAAAAATGCAGTGTCTGCAAAGTGCTTTTCATTCCAATCCCAAAGAAAGGCAGTGCCAAAGAGTGCTCAAATTACCACACAATTGCACTCATCTCACATGCTAGTAAAGTAATGCTCAAAATTCTCCAAGCCAGGCCTCAACAGTATGTGAACCGAGAACTTCAGATGTTCAAGCTGGTTTTAGAAAAGGCAGAGGAACCAGAGATCAAATTGCCAACATCCATTGGATCATCGAAAAAGCAAGAGAGTTCCAGAAAAATATCTATTTCTGCTTTATTGACTATGCCAAAGCCTTTGACTATGTGGATCACAATAAACTGTGGAAAATTCTGAAAGAGCTGGGAGTACCAGACCACCTGACCTGCCTCCTGAAAAATCTGTATGCAGGTCAGGAAGCACCAGTTCGAACTGGACATGGAACAACAGACTGGTTCCAAATAGGAAAAGGAGTCTGTCAAGGCTGTATATTGTCACCCTGCTTATTTAACTAATATGCAGAGTACATCATGAGAAATGCTGGGCTGGAAGAAGCACAAGCTGGAATAGAGATTGCTGGGAGAAATATCAATAACCTCAGATATGCAGATGACATCACCCTTATGGCAGAAAGTGAAGAAGAACTAAAGAGCCTCTTGATGACAGTGAAAGAGGAGAGTGAAAAAGTTGGCTTAAAGCTCAACATTCAGAAAACTAAAATCATGGCAGCTGGTCCCATCACTTCATGGCAAATAGATGGGGAAACAGTGGAAACAGTGGCTGACTTTATTTTTCTGGGCTTCAAAATCACTGCAGATGGTGATTGCAGCCATGAAATGAAAAGACGCTTACTCCTTGGAAGGAAAGTTATGATCAACCTAGACAGTGTATTGAAAAGCAGAGACATTACTTTGTCAACAAAGGTCTGTCTAGTCAAAGCTATCATTTTTCCAGTAGTCATGTATGGATATGAGAGTTGGATTATAAAGAAAGCTAAGCGCCAAAGAATTGATTCTTTTGAACTGTGGTGTTGGAAGAGACTCTTGAGAGTCCCTTAGACTGCAAGGAGATCCAACCAGTCCATCCTAAAGGAGATCAGTCCTGGGTGTTCATTGGAGGGACTGATGTTGAAACTGAAACTCCAATACTTTGGCCACCTCATGCAAAGAAGTGACTCATTTGAAAAGACCCTGATGCTGGGAAAGACTGAGGGCAGGAGACGAATGGGACGACAGAGGATGACATGGTTGGATGGCATCACGACACAATGGACATGGGTTTGGCTGGACTCCGGGAATTGGTGATGGACAGGGCGGCCTGGCATGCTGGGGTTCATGGGGTCGTAAAGAGTCGGACACGACTGAGCGACTGTACTGAACTGAATTGAAGCATGATAAACAAAAATATGCCTGAATTATGATACTATTTTTTAATGAGTGGAGCCAAATAAATTATATTAATGTTTTACAAATTGTTAACAGGATGGAATCCGACGTGGTAGACCCAGAGCAGATACTGTACGGGATTTAATAAGTGAAGGAGAGCATTCGTCCAGCAGAATCCGTTGTAACATCTGTAATAGGGTGTTTCCACGGGAGAAATCACTCCAGGCTCACAAAAGGACTCATACAGGTAAGTTGAGCAAATTTTAGAGAATGCCAAAAGTGATACTTAACTGAAAGCTGATTTGATGTTTAGGCCTATAAATTAATTTTTTAGTTGCCTCACATTTCCTTATTGTAAAATTTTAAAAGCGGGCACTGTGTAGTCAGCTTCTCTTTTGGTGGGGAGGGATAGTTTTCTGAACATTGATACCATGTGATTTCTAAAGTTATCATGGTAATTAGTGTAGCTGTCACAGGAATATTATTACTAAATTTGGTTCTATCCTGTCTATCCAAATTTTACTTGATATGCCTTTTAAGTTGTCTGTTTGGCTGTTAAACCTGATTTGTAAGTCAAATCCTAAATCACTAATAGTCAGATTTTTAATAGAATGTCTAGAGTCCTCTGTTTTAGATGTATTGAGTTAAATAAAGTATATAGTTAAGTTAATTTTACTTGTTTTGTATTACTTTGTGAATGTGGCCATTAGAAGCGGTTCTCATTCTATTTCTCTTGGTCAATACTGATTTAGAATTTGTGTTTTTCACCTGTAGTCCCCTGTTTGTTCCACTATGTGTACGGTTATCACCTTTTTCTTTTTTCTTTTAGTTTTTGAAAAGATATAGTTCAATGACATGCTAGAATATAGGTGTTCTTAGCTAAATCCCTGAAAAGGGGTAAAGTTTTAATTTTGAATCATTATAAACTAAGGTGGCCAAGATGTTTTGAATTCAGGTACCATTCAGTAAAACTATTATTTTATGCATATCTGATTCTGAGAATTTTTTTCAATCAACTTAGCCTGAAATATGGAAAAGGAAATGGCAACCCACTCCAGTATTCTTGCCTGGAGAATCCCAGGGACGGTGGAGCCTGGTGGGCCGCCATCTATGGCGTCGCACAGAGTCGGACACGACTGAAGCGACTTAGCAGCAGCAGCAGCCTGAAAAGTGAAAGTGAAGTCGCTCAGCTGTGTCTGACTCTCTGCCACCCCATGGACTATATATATAGCCCACCAGCAGCCTGAAATAACCCCAAATAAGTGGTTCATAGCTGTAGAGTACATGTTGCCAATGTGGAATCAGTTGCCAAGATTGAAGATCACGTGGCATAATAAAAAGGTGCTTGAGTCCAGTACTGATCTACCACTGATTCATTATGTGTCACCCAGTACTTCTACACCTATTACATTGTGTCCCGGGGACCTGAGCCCAAGATCCCCATGCTATAGTTAAGTTCTAATAGTATATGCTTTTAGAGGGTAGAAAAACTTTTCTCTTACTCTAGTCTGTGTTTATTAACTTCTGTCTAACTGTTAACATTCATTTAGTACATTTCTAAATAAAAAATTTAGGGAAGATTCATTACTGTTCTTTGAGTCATATTGGAAGAACCAATGTATAATTGTTGACCAAAGAATGTTTATTCAGGAAATAAGTTTAATTATGATTGAACAACAACCTTTTTGAGCACTTTATTTAGCCTAACACTATGCTGTGTACAGAAATTGAAATGGAGTGCAAGGTGCTGTTCATCTTTGTATAAGGAGAGTTCATGATGCATAAACAATATAGGATACTAAGTTAGTGGAGGGATATGTCACTTAATTATTCGGAGGTGGGGGGCGGTGGGGGTAGAAGAAGTTTCACTGGGAGCCTATAGGATTGGGAAGATCTGAATGGGCAGGAAAGATAGGGATTCCAAGAAGATAGGGAACTGCCTCGTGGCTGGAGTGAACCTCCAGGAGGAAGTCAAGATAAACCCTGCTCCTGAACCCAGTAGCTATAGTGCAGGTATTAGAGGGCCATTTAAAAGTCAGCAGATCGTTTTTACTTGTTCAAGGAGAAGAGTAGGGTTTGGGATGGTTTTAGAGGGTAGTTGGATGGAAAAAGCAAGTATTTTCTGCCATCTACTCCAAAAGTGCTATACGGGGTCAGAGACTAGAGACCTGCCAGGATTCCTTCTAGGTGGGGGGCTGCCAGTCTGACCAGAGGGGGGTGACGGTGGAGACATTCTAAATAATCAGCAAGAGCCAGTGACTCAGACTGGGCGGGGGGCTGCGGAATATGGGATAAGCTGAAGATGATAACTGCAAAGATTGTGAACTGGGGTACCGAAAAGCTCAAGGGCTAAAGAAAACATTGTGCTTCATATTATCGAAATGTGCCCTTAGCACTTCCATTTGCAGCTCTGTAGAGGCTATGGCATGTTTTATTGTTGTTTGCAGTCATGACTTATGTAAAGGTTGATTCTCTCTCCCTGCCCCTCCCCCCTCCCCACCTTATTGTCTCATAAATATAATGACATCTGTTTACTTAGGTGAGAGACCTTATCTGTGTGACTACCCAGACTGTGGAAAAGCCTTTGTTCAAAGTGGACAGCTCAAAACCCATCAGCGTCTTCACACCGGAGAAAAACCTTTTGTTTGTTCAGAAAACGGTATGGTGTTAGAAGTTAAGTTTATGGAATAACCAGTTGTGAGTTAAAGGTTAAAATATCTTTTGCTTGAATTTTTAGGAAGTAAAGTTTTTGATAGAGATTTTATCAAACCTCTTAAGTTAAACTTATGTCCTTGCTAATATGTAATCCATGCTCAGTTGCTGGGAAATGATTGATTTTTAAGTAAAGTATTCTTTTCAGGTGAAAATCTTTATAAAGGGCAATTTAAAATGTATAACCAATTGTAGGCAGTAGAAAACTCTATTCAAGTAAATATAACCTTTAGTGTAGGCTTTTACTTTGGTGTTAAAACTTTTTCACTGTTAAACTGAAAGAAGCACATTATTGTCTAAATTTTCAGGAGGGCCGGGGGTGGGGTAGATTTTACCAGCTCAACATTGCTACTGTTGGTAATTTCTTAACACTTTTCTTAAGTGTTTATTTATTGTTTTACCAGTTTCTTAATCTGTTTTTCTTATGTACATTTTTACAGTTATATTTGAAATTCAGTACAGTTTTGTTCTGTTGCTCCGTGGTTTCCTTGATTAATATCAGTTGTTACAAATGTAGCACATATACTTAACGATTCCCTCAATGTTAGATATTGAATATTTAATTTGTTTTTAAAATTTGCTTGTTATCAACAAACATGAGAGGCCTGTTTTCCTATTTAAAGCTTTATTTACCTTTTGGGATTTTTTTATGACAAATGCCAAGAACGAAATTCCTGGGTCAGAGATTTTGAATATTTTTATGACTTGTGCTAATAAATTACTTTCCATTAGGGTTTAATGCATTTACATTGCAATGACCAGGAGGTGAAAGAACCATCTTCACCTTCCTCTCAGTGGCATTGATAATACCAGTTTAAGGTTATTTTTTTTTTTTCTCAAGTTATAGAATGATAAATCTCATCATCTTATTTTTTTTTGGATACCAGTGAAACTGAACGTTTTCCATGTCTGCTAGATATCCAGATCTGATGAAGTGTTTCCTTCTGTGTTTTGAAGGCTGCCTAAGCAGATTCACCCATGCAAACCGCCACTGTCCGAAGCACCCTTACGCCAGGCTGAAGCGAGAGGAGCCCACAGATGCTCTCAGTAAGCCCCAGGCTGTGGACAACCAGGCTGCTGCTGAGTGGTTGGCAAAGTAAGGCTCTCCCTGGAGTCTAGAGCAGAATACTGCCCAGTGTGCGGGTTGAAGCTGGGGACTTACACAGTTCTGTCAGTTTAAGTTGCTTTTATACACGTTTTTTAAAAATAACTTGAAATGGCACTTTATTTCTTTAAAGCACAGAATTGTTAGGAGTTTTATTTGGATCTGTGTGTGATAGAAGACTATTGTATGATATTAATCTGAGCGCTCAGACCACAATTTATTTAAAAGCAAGGGTTTACCCCATTTGAAAAGAATGTTTTTTATGTATTGTATTTCATTTGTCATTAGTACAATCCATCTTCATTTTCTTTATATTGAATTTAGCAATGTGTTGATTATTAGAGAGACTAGAGGTTCTTCTAAAGTAAAATTTCCAAAAGCATCCAGTTTAATTTTTTTAATGGCAACAAAGTGGCCAGTATAAAAACATTCCTGTAAGGATGTTTTGATTTAAGGAGTCGTCACACCAGCAGCAGCTGATTGTGCCATTCCCTAGCTTCACTAGCCTCCTCTGTGCTGAGGATAAACTCTAGAATCCCTAATTATGTTCTGTGGTTCTGCCTCCCTCTAGCAACACAACTATCTCCAGCCACCTGGGTTCCTTGTCTCTCTACAGCACTGTTACCGTAGTTTCTAGCCCTTTGTGCTCACTTCTCTCTTCACTCTGCTTATTCTTCATTTCTTCATTTCTTACTCAGATTAAACATCACTTCAGGAAGTTCTTCCCTAACCTACGCAGTAACCCCCAAAACAAATAAGGTTAAATCTACTTAACAGATGATTTTATAACACGTTGTATTTTCTATCTCAAAACCTCCATCACACATTTATTTGTTCGATGACTATCTTCCCTGCTGGATCATAAGCTCCACAAAGGCAGGGATTTTGGGTTTGTCTCAAATATTGCACCATTTTCTTCCTCCCTCTTCCTCCTTGCTGGCTTCCACTGCCCCATTGAATCTAATTTTGCCCAAGCCAGAAACTAACTAGTCATCTTTATCTTATTTTTCTCCCATCTACTCAGTGATCAACCTATGGATTCTACTTCCTTAACAATTCTCAGATTCAGCCACTTAAGTCTTCTCAATCGATATTTCATGCTGCTGCCAGAGGAGTGTTTCTAAAATGCTAATATGGTTCTCATTATGAAGTCTAAACCCTTTATTATAGCATTCAAAGCCCTTACCTAGTCCTTGCTAACCTTGCTGACTTGTATTTCGCTGTTTTCCTTTTCTAGTTGTCCTTGAAGTCATATTGAACTGTTTGCATTTCTCTTTTTATATTTCTGAGTATTTCCACAAGTTTTCTAGTTTGAGTAGTCTAGGTTTCCTGAAATCTGGTAGTTGTAATTTTTTTTTTTTGTATGTAATTTTAAAAACAGCTTTATTGAGGCATAATTGTCATACAATAAATTGTACACATTTAGAGTACATAATTTGATGCGTTTTGACGTATGTAGATACCTGTGAAACCATCACCAAAATCAAGATAGTGAGCATACCCATCACTTCCACAAGTCTCCTCATGTAAGCCTGCATCTCCCTGCCACTGCCAGCCCCCAAAAACATTCATCTGCTTTCTCTCTGTACAGTTCTCATTTTCTAGAGTTTTATACAAATGGAATTGCCCATTATGTACTTGGTTGGCTTCTTTCAACCATCATAATTATTTTGAGAGTCATGGTGTTGTTGAGTGTATCAGATCATTCCTTTTTATAGCTGTGCAGTAATCTGTTGTATGGCCATAACTCCAATTATTTATTCATTCACCTCTTGATAGGCCTTTATGTTGGTTTTGGCTATTACAAATAAAGCTGCTATGAACATGAATGGACATTTTTGTAGGTAATGGTACTGTCATTTCAATATGCCTTTCTTTGGTTTTCAGGAAAGGTGGAACATTTGCATTTTCTCTTGTGCATTATCAGTTGACCATGCAATAGAATAATGATGGTGCTCTTAAATTCTTGAATAAGCTCTATGTGTTACCCTTAAGAATCCATTTGTGCTATTTTTTGGTGGGTTTAAACTTTCTCATAATTAGCTCTATCAGAAGCCATCCTCCCTCTGTGGATAAGATAAATAGGCTTCTAATGATTATTCTATTTCTATATTTTACTCTAGTCCATTTCACATGTGATCTTGAAATCAGTTTAATGATGAAAACACATGACTCCAGAGCTGAGTCTGAGCTGCTGTTTGTTGATTGTGGCATTCTAAGCAAGTCCTTCAGCTTCCTGAACTTGAGTTTTTCCACATGTTATGGAAACATGTGGAGAAGGAAATGGCAACCCACCAGTATTCTTGCCTGAAGAATCCCAGGGACAGAGGAGCCTGGTGGGCTGCCGTCTATGGGGTCGCACAGAGTCGGACACGACTGACGCGACTTAGCAGCAGCAGCAGCATGGAAACATGTAACGTATTCACTTTGTAACTTTATAAACTGAAACACACAAAATAATACTGTAGTAAAGACCCCCCACTCCCTTTTTTTTTAGAAAAGTGAACATTGGAGAATGTTACCTATACGTGTAAGTAATGCGGATGCATTTCATACAGGTACTGGGAAACACGAGAGCAGCGCACTCCCACCTTGAAAGGCAAGCTGGTTCAGAAGGCTGATCAGGAGCAGCAGGACCCGCTGGAGTACCTCCAGTCCGACGAGGAAGACGATGAGAAGAGCGGTGCGCAGCGGCGGCTCCAGGAGCAGCGGGAGCGCCTGCACGGGGCCCTCGCCCTCATCGAGCTCGCCAACCTGACGGGAGCCCCGCTCCGCCAGTAGCCCGGACACTGACTCCTCCACTGTACAAAAGTACTGCCCAGCGTACTTAAAAAGTAGATCCTTGGGCATAAGCTAAGCACCTTATTTGCTTATCATAGGCTGCTATTCTGTAGAAATGTATGAAGAATGTCGTTGCCCCAGAATATGGGGTGAGAGAGAATTGCACTTTTTTTATATGGTCATAGATTTGTTGTAAAGTTTAAAATATTTTGTAAATATGGGACTTCTAGTACAGGGTAGAAAACTACGTATTGTGGGAGGCTAGATTTTGCAAGTTTAATGCATTCATTGGAAGCAGTTCTCACAGAAAGCACTTTCTGAATAAGACACTTGTATGGGGAAAAAAAAGCATGGTACATATAGCCAAAGAAGGTTTAAATAGATTATTTATAAGATCATTTTTAACAATGTATATTAGTATGTTTAACAATACTGTAAACACTGAAGCAAGCAGAAAGCATAAGATGTGAGTAAGGTATATATTTTAAAATTGCAAAATAGTGTGCCTAATAAGACTAGAGATGGAAAACTGACTTTCAGAAGACTTTCTAACTTTGGGACTTTGTAAGAAAACAGATATTTGAAAATCTTGGTAAGATGAACAGTAGTTAAGAATTTTCAAGATTGGAGTGAAATCAGTCTTATTCTATCTTTCTGAGGTTTTACAACTCACTATGATGTTTAGATTTGAAAGCACTTGTCACCCCTAGCTTGTTAACTTGGGAACTTTTGCACATTTCATGTTTCTCATTTGCTGAAATTGAATGATTAATCTTGCAAAGTCTAGGTAACTTGGTAATCGGTATTTTAAAAATATATTATGGGCCCTGTAATGAGATTTGGCACTTGGATTTTTATTAATAAAAGGGACATCTACAGGGTTGTTTTGTAGTGAATCGTTTAGATCTTTTGTTAGCAAACACTAAATTTAAATGTACTGCTTGTTTAGAATTATTAGCAAATGGAAGCCTCCTATTTATATTTTCAGTGCATAAAGCCACCTTCTTGCTTTACTTCAGAATAACATGCCAAGCTATTTTGTGTTCACTAAATTTAGCTATCAGTTAAACACTGCAGAAAATATTAGCTACTCAAATAAGTAGGCTTCCGGAATAGTTTTAACTGCAAGTGTGTTAACTTGTGTGGTGGTTTTAAATAATTTTTTCCAAAATAGATGAAGTTTTTAAACACCACTTTATGTACTGAAGCATGAATAGAAAAATGAAGAGCTGAGTAGTTCACCTCCTTTATGTAGGCATAAAGTTCCATCATTTTAGCTTGTTTTAAGCAGAAACTAAATAACATGCATAGCATGGTAATTTTATAGATTGCTTAATTGGAGTAAATGTCACAATAAGGGAAATAAGGGCTCGTCAGTGCCTTTCTTTCTTTTTTTTTGTATTGAAGTAGTAGCCTACAGATGTAGTTTAAACATCTAAAATGTAGGCTTCTGTATCTCAAAATCCCAACATGTTGCAGTACACAGATAGTTTAAAATATGTAGCCATGGGGAAGGGGATGTATGTAAATGTCTTGAAATGAGGCAAAAGTATGAAAGATAATAGTAACAAATAATGTGTATGATGAGGACATACTTTAAAAATGTAATTCCTCTGTACAGTAAATTACAAATCTTGAGGGATTTTTTTTTTAATAAGAGAATTTATATTTGTAATGGTCTAAGAATTTTTTTTTGTAATCTGGTATATAGAATTTTAACTTGGAGCACTTATGAGCACAGTAAGAGAGACTATAGCATCTGAATTTTCTTGGTTTAGGTTCAACATTTTTCTCTAGAATTTTTCCTCTCAAAGATGACTTAAATGAACTCTAAAAAGCTTCATCAGTCTTGGGAAATTTAATGAACTTACCTAAAGAAGGAAATGCAGTAGGAATTTAAGAAATACAAATTCACACATAATAAAATTTAAGGCCTTCAAAAGTAAAGAGTTTTTGTTTCTCCTGTCAGCTTTTGTCAACTATAATAGTTACATTCACAAACATTTTCTATTTGTATAATTGGAAGTTTTAAGAAATTATTACAATTATTTACTATAGAAATATTTAAAATGTTCCTTTTTTGATATAAGCTATATATTTGGACAAAATACATTGGCATCTAAAATTTGAGGTGTGTTAAAAATGTGGTTTACATTCAGATTTTTGAAGTGTTTTATGCTTCATATGGCTAAGTTGTAGTTTGGCAGAGTTAACAGCATAAGAATAAACAGCTCTAATTTTAAAAAGTTGCTTTGAATAAAAACTTTAATTTACAGTTTAAAGTACATGCTCATTCTTAAACCCTGTATAATTTGTTTTCTTTTTAAAAATACGGTAACAAAAAAAATAAAAATAAAAATACGATAACCATAATATAAAATTTAAAGATGGAAAGAAATATCATGTAGCCATACATTCTCATTATTATTATTCTCCTTATACATATCATTATTATTTTGGTGCATTTTATATTTCATTCCAGTCTCAGGCATCTTTTTAGCATAGCTGGAACCATTATGTGAATTCCTTTTTCTTTAAAGTTTTGGCCTTTTAGACTATGGATATTCATTTAACTTCCTCATCTGTTTTCATTATTACAGTATAAAAATACTGATGTAAAAAAGCATCAAACTACTGCCAGCTCTATCCCAGGCTTTATATTAGGGTAATCAGGAACTGGAGTTTTATTTCACTTATATCCAGGATGTGTTGAATCTGAGGTCAACCCTGGAGAATCCAAAGTCTAGTTTACTTTTCTGAGTCAAGCAAATTGCTTTAATTTTTCAATTTTTTTTGGTAGATCTTTAGTTGGTTATTTGCAGTGGCAAGGTTTCAGCCTGTCCAGGCTTTGTGCAAAAGAATTTCACAAGCAACTCTTCAGTGTCAGTTGTGGTTTAAACACAGAAAGGATGAGATTTTTGACAGTGACTTAAGTTCCAGGAAGTATGTACACAGAAGCAAATTCAATGCAAATATGATTAAGACTGTCTTGAAAAGTGACTTTAAAATACTGTCTTGTACTTGTGGTCCAGTGGTTAAGACTCCAGGCTTCCAATGAAAGGGGGGGCAAGTGCTGACCCCTAGTTCAGGAACTAAGATTCCACATGCCTTGTGTGGCCAAAAAAACCCCAAAAAACCCAAAACTGTCTTGTTGCCAAAAGTTAGTTGGAGACTCTTGGACTCACTGGAAACTTAGTTGATCTTTTTGAGGAACTTAACCAAAATGACTTCCAATTTCAGATTTTGGATTCAACCTGAGTGTGAATTTATTTTCTATTTTAAAAGTCATGTGTATTCCTTTTCTGTTTTGGGTAATGTAGACTTCCTTTCTGGCTTTTTTAGTGCTAGTTATTTGTTAAAAGCTGGGGTCGCAAAGAGTTGGACACCACTGAGCAACTAATAACATCACATCATATCTTCAGTTCAGTTCAGTCGCTCAGTCGTGTCTGAATCTTTGTGACCCCATGAACCGCAGCATGCCAGGCCTCCCTGTCCATCACCAACTCCTGGAGTCCACCCAAACCCATGTCCATTGAGTTTGTGATGCCATCCAACCATCTCATCCTCTGTCGTCCCCTTCTCCTCCTGCCCTCAGTCTTTCCCAGCATCAGGGTCTTTTCAAATGAGTCAGCTCTTCTCATCAGGTGGCCAAAGTATTGCAGTTTCAGCTTCAACAGCAGTCCTACCAATGAACACCCAGGACTGAAAATACTATTTAAAAAAAAAAAAGGCAAAACAAACCCTAAGCCTTAACGTTTCTCCCTAAGGCGGCAGTTTAGAGGAAGACAGGGTTTTAAAAAACTCTCCCAAACCCAGACAAGAGTCAGAGGGTGGTGCCTTTGACGACGAACTTGAGCCGAACCCGCTCTTACGTGCGGGCAGCTTTGGGGCGTCGGGCGCGGGGCGTGTGGGGTTCCCTCCGCGGCCCTTCCTGTTTCGGCCGCGCCTCCTCCCGCGCTGGCTGGGGGCGGGGACTGAACTGGGGCGGCGCGGGCCCGAGGGTGGCCCAGACGGGCGGCCGCGGGACATGACGGCCGGCGGCCAGGCCGAGGGCGCGGGCGCGGACCCCGCTTCCGCGCGGCTGCCTTCCCGGGTGGCCAAGCTACTGTCGGCCCTCTTCTACGGGACCTGCTCCTTCCTCCTTGTTCTGGTCAACAAGGCGCTGCTGACCACCTACGGGTGAGGCGGGAGCCTGGGGGCCGGGAGGAGTCCGCGGGACTCCGGGACCTTCCCGCTCCGGCGCCGCGCGGAGCGGGTGCTGGCCGGACTCCGGAGGTCCCGAAGCCGGGGAGAGCCGCGGGGCTGCCTGCCCTCGTGCACTTCGGTCGCATTCGGAGTCAGCGGGTGGCGGGGAGCGGCGAGCGGGAAGTCTCGCAAACTCCGGAGCAGTTTGGGCGGCCAGTGCACTGCGCACGGGCCACGTATTCAGGGTCCGGACCTTCGCACTGTTTGGAAACAAAACCACAAGCCAGTAAGTCAGCGCGGGCACAGCGTACCGCGGCTTACTGCTGCAGGACAGGAAGCGCACCTGTGCTTTCAGGAGCACCAGTGAGCTGAAACTAGCGATCCGAACGAATGTGTCCTTCAAATGCAAGCTATTTCTACAGGTCTAGCTATTCAACCATCAGAAGAGTCCTGAGTGGATGAGTTTATTCGCATTGTTTGATCATTCATCTCAAATCACCAGCATGTTCATGGGAAAATGGAGAAAACAAAATTTCATACTATTTTTTTTTTAATGAGTATGTAGTAAACCAGCAAATTTGTGTTTCCTTGAACCTATTTGTAAAGATAGAAAATCCTGTTTAATTCTGCTTTGGTTGTATAGGCATCGAAAGCGCTGTGAATTTAGACCCAGCTCCACCAGATAATTACATCTCTGTAAATTATCTCCCAGACCTCGGCATGAGTTGTCATAAGTGAGGGCTCCTTGTAAACTATACTGTGCTACAAGAATGTAAAATCAGAATTTTATAAAGAGTCCAAAGGGCTTCCCTGGTAGCTCAGTAGTAAAGAATCATCCTGCTTGGGCAGGAGACAGAGGTTCCCTCCCTGGTGGGGAAAATCCCCTGGAGAAGGAAATGGCAACCCACTCCAGTCTTGCCTGGGAAATCGGATGGACAGAGGAGCCGGACAGGTTACAGTCCATGGGGTCATGAAAAGAGTGAACAAAGAAACCTCAGAGTGTCTTCAGCCTCCTTATTTTAAACTAGCAGAAGCTGAAACTTAGGTGAGCTTGGCTGGTTCCACCTCTAACAGATATTTACCGGGCAGCTACTAGGTGCCAATGCCTGGTACCAGGGAAGCATCTGTGAAAAAAACACAAAGCAGCCTGCAGTGGAGCCCCCTATCATATCAGTGGTAGGGAGGACAGTGAACAGGTGGGCTCATGAATAAGCAAGGTGATTTCAGGTTTGCTGTGAGGGTTCCTGGGGTGGAGTGGTTGGTGAGAGCATTCCACACAGAAGAAAATGGGCTGAAGTGGGCATGAGCTTGGCCTACTGGAGGAATAGAGAGAAGGTGATCTGGCTAGAACTGAATGAGCAAGTGGTAGGAGAGACAGTGTTGGGATCGGTAGGATCGGATCCTTCATTCATTCAATAACATTCAATAAACACCTATCATAAAAAGAGAATGCTGTTAATAGGCATTTGGGGAGTGGTTGACAGATACATCAGTTGAAGTTTGATGGTAAATCTCTGCTTTCTGCTCTTGACTGAGCAGTGTGCTCATTGACCAGAACAGTCAATGAGTCCAAAAACATGCGTCTTCTTGTTGGAGCAGGGACCAGTAAACACTGGTTAAGTGCTTGGAAGATGAAGGACAGTGTTTGACTGGAAAGAATTATATGAGGCATCTCCTGCTGTAACCTTTCCATCTTTAAAATTTTGAGTTCCATGATTGAAGGAGGAAATTGTTTTTGTCTCAGCAAGGCAAAGCTCCTTATAACCTTATATGTTTCACATTTCTGTAATGTGATACACAGTTGGAGAGCCCTGTTCAAAAAACATTGTTTAGTCTCTCATCTCAGGATGCTTTCAGAGCATGTTTTGAGGCAAAGAGGGTTGGGGTTGTTAGGTTATAACAATAAGCCATAGAAATCTGATCCAGGCATTAACTGTTTGAGGATAGAATGTAGTGTTATTGGGTAGAAGGAAGAACTTTTTGTAGTTACCTAGGTCACAGGATTATGGGAATGTAGCTCAGGGAATATTTTTTTCTCTTCCAGTTTGAGTAGATTGTGTCTGGTTGGAGTCCCAGACTGATGAGTGGTCTTAGTTATATGTTAGTCTTAGGTCATTGACTTGCTAAATTTACCTGGTTGGACGGAGAGAGCTTTGGAAGGACTTGGAGTCAGACCCTGTTGGAGTGAGAAGGAAAAGAATCTGGGGGACAAGATGGGCTTTGATGGTTCAGCGCATGTAGCCCGAAGTCCTGAAGGGTGGAGAGAAAGACCAGGGCTCCTTTAAATGAGCCACAGAAGCTCAGGAGACACTACAAAGAGGAACTCTAGCGCTGAACCTTCAAAGCCCATCTTGTCCCCCAGATTCTTCTCCCTCTCACTCCAACAGGAAGAAGAACAGTAGTGGTTCTTTGGAGTCACATTCATGAGGCTTGTGCAGGCAGTCTCAGTCGTTTTTTTTTTGTTACTATTTTAATACTGTTCTCTGCCATGCAAGATTTTACAAATAATGCTTAATACAAAGTGTAAACTTAGTTGTATTAAGTTCAACAGGTATTTGCTTGGTACTTGCTGTTTGTTTACTCAATCCAGGGCTTTGAGATCACTTAACACAGTCATTTTCAAACTTGCTTGGTAATGTGAATCCCTAGGATGGTAATGTGAATCCCTAGGAGAGATTTTTTTTTTTTTAAGAGCTATTGAATCAGAGGCTCCAGTGGTGGGAAATGGAAGTTTATACTAAAAGTCAAAAACAACTCCTAATTTTCTCCTGGTGGCTCAGATGGTAAAGCGTCTGTCTACAATGTGGGAGATCCAGGTTTGATCCCTGGGTCAGGAAGATCCCCTGGAGAAGGAAATGGCAACCCACTCCAGTACTATTGCCTGGAAAATCCCATGGATGGAGGAGCCTGGTAGGCTACAGTCCATGGGGTCACAAAGAGTCGAATACGACTGAGTGACTGAACTGAACTGAATTTTCTCATACTCTGATGAAAACTGGCTCTCTCCTAAAGACAGTGCTCCACTGGGCTCCTGGGAAGGAGCTGGATCCTGGTCGTGCCCCACCTGTTGCCAGGAGGTGGGGTTGAGGCCTCGAAGCTCCCACTGCTCTGCTCTGCGGAGAGCCCAGGCTTAGCACTCCCTTCTATGCTCTCTATGTGCCTCCTAAGCGTCTGTGGCTCCTTTAGTGGAGTCCTGGTCTTTCTGTCCACCCAGACTCTTAAGCCCTCAAGACTTCGTGCTCCGTGTGCTGAACCCTCAAAGCCCATCTGGTCCCACATCCGGTGTCACTCCCAGGGCCATGTGCTCAGTGTGACCCTGCCAGCCACTCCAGTCCTGGTACAGGATATTCATGTTTAGTGCTGCAGCCCAGGTATTTCTGCCACCTCCACCCTCCAGGCGTCCCTTCTCTCCTGGTCCAGCCGGTGGGCCCCTCCCTGGAAGCCCCTAAGACTCCTTCCCAGCTCTTGCCTTGGCTGGTACTTATCTCACACAGCCTACCTTTTGCAACTTTCCTTCAGCATTGAACAGCTCTGACTGTCCGGGGAGAAAAATCACTTTGGGTGTGGCTGGGTTGACTTTAATTTGATGATCACAAACCTCAAAACCAGCTCTTCTACCACCCTCTAGTTTCTTCTGGAGCCTTGCTTTCCTTGTCTCAGAAATGTCTCCTTCCTGCTTTCTCTTCTACCCTGAAACCTTCCACACCTCCATCCTCCACTCTCCTCTGATACTTCATTGAGGGAAATAGAAACTGTCAGATGAGGTCCCCTTTCTGCTGTGATGGAGGGAGGGCTTTATTCCTGTGGAGGGCCCAGCTCCCCATTTCTGGATGTCCCTCCTTCCTGCTCCTTTCATTATCCTCCTCATTGCTGCATCAGCTGCCTCTCTCTGTCAGCTTAAAGCATGTTTAGGTTTCTCAAGCAAAAATAACCCTCCCTTGATCCACGTGGGTGCTCGTTTCTCTGATCCTTTCAGAGTTAGACTTTAAAAGATTGTGTACACATACTATCTTCACTTCCTTGTATTCACTCCAAAAATAATTCAGTTAAAAAATTGGGTGTTGCTTAAATATACAAATGTACAAAGAAGATGATAATAATAATTGTTCATATTCCCACTATCTAGAATCAATATTTTGAATTTTTTAAAAGAAAAGTCATTCTGTGTGATCATTATAAAGAATTCAAACAAGAGAAAAATATTAGAGTAAAATTTTAAAAATTACTATAGTTGACATTAGGCAATAACTTCAGACATCTTTTAGATAAATGGATGGATTGGAGAAAGACAGGTTGAATTACTTTTTGTATAAAGTATATTTATAGATATAGCTACTTATTTGCTCATTTCTTTATAAATTATTTTCTTTAATTCAAAAAGGAGTGGGAAATGAGTGAGCACTTTCATTTAATTATTCAATTGTTTGAGGATCACCAAGGTCCCTCTGAGCTTTCCTGGTGGTTCAAATGGTAGAGAATCTGCCTGCAGTGCAGGAGACTTAGGATTGATCCCTGGGTCAGGAAGATCCCCTGGAGAATGGAATAGTTACCCACTCCAGTATTCTTGCCTGGAGAATCCCATGGAGAGAGGAGTCTGGCAGACTATAGTCCATGGGGTCACAAAGAATTCGACATGACTGAGCAATTAACACTTAAATCCCTCTACCACTTTTTATTATGTAAAGTTTCGAGCACACAGGAAAGTGGAAAGCAGAGTACACTGAACATCTGTACATACACCACTGAAATTAAGTAATTAACATTTTGTTATATTTGAGTGCTGAAGAATTGATGCTATTGAATTGTGGTGCTGGAGGAAACTCTTGAGAGTCCCTTGGACTGCAAGGACATCAAAACAGTCAATCCTAAAGAAAATCAGTCCTAAATATTCCCTGGAAGGACTCTTGCTGAAGCTGAAGCTCCAATACTTTGGCCACATGATGCGAAGAGGTGACTCATTGGAAAAGATCCTGATGGTGGGAAGGATAGAAGGCAAAAGGAGAAGAGAGCGGCAGAGGATGAGATGGTTAGAGAGCATCACCGACTCAGTGGACATGAATTTGAACAAACTGTGATAAATTTTGGAGGAAGAGAAGCCTGGTGTGCTACAATCCATGGTGTCGCATGAACCACTGAATACATCATTGACACATCATGACACTGCACTCTCAGATATTTCAACATGCATGTGTGTGCATGTTCAGTCCTGTCTGACTCTTTGTGACCCCATGGACTGTAGCCTGCCAGGCTCCTCTGTCCATGGGATCTCACAGGCAAGAATACTGGAGTGGGTTGCCATTTGTTCCTCCAGAGTATCTTCCTGACCCAGGGGTGGAAGCCGCATCTCCTGTGTCTCCTGCTTTGGCAGGTGGATGTACCACTGCACTACCTGGGATGCCCTATTTCAACATACCTCTCCTGAAATATGGATATTCTCTGACATTAGTATCATTTTTGCTCTTAGCAAACTTAACAGTAATCTCCTAAAATAATCTAATATGAAATCTATAGTCATCCCAGTTGTCTTCAAGATGTTTTTATGATTGTTTTAAACATTTGGATCAAGATCCAATTGAACTTCATGCAATGTATACAGATACGTCTTTTTAGTTTATTTTAATCTAGAAAAGTTCCCCATGCACCTCTTCACTCTGATTATTGTTGTTGTTTAGTCGCTAAGTTGTGTTCAACTCTTTGTGACCCCAGGGACTGCGGCCTGCCAGGCTCCTCTGTCCATGGATTTCCCAGGCAGGAGTACTGGACTGGGTTGCCATTTCTTTCTCCACTTCCCCTTGATATTGACTTTGAAATGCCTGACCCAGGTGTGTTGTAAAGTGTCCCCTATTATGGATTGTTTGATTTATTTTTTGAAGTCTCACTTAACTTACTTTCTATTTTTTTAACTGAAAATTAGATCTAAAGGCTTGATTACATTCAGATTAAACATTTTTTTGGCTTTATACTGATAGCGGACCCTGTAAATTTCAGCTGGCATCATATGAGGGGTTGTAATACAATTAGTCATTCTGTCTGCATTTGAAGGCTTAAGGTGAGGGCTGCAAGTTGCGTGTATGTATGAAATTTCATTTTTACTGAATTGAATGGAGAGAAGAGAAATTAGAGTTGAATGAAAAGAGTGGTTGACTTTCAAATCTATTTCTTCAGTTTCTGACTGTATGTATGGCTTCTCTGCTATGAAGCATGACATCTCTGTACTTCTTTGTATCTCCCCTCCCCTCCATGTCTTCTTTTACAGTGTAGCATCCTGTTGTGTAAGTATAATCCCACAGTTGTTTGAATCTGGTCTATGTTAAATGAATACAGTAGTCAGCAGCCTTTTATCGTGGTGTCTTCATTCCAGAGCTCAGTATTTTGATTTGACTCCTAAGTGGTGGATTCCATTGCAGGGTCGTGTTTTTATGGAGAGTTCATGGCTGCTGTATTGATCGTGTTGAATATTCTTAACAACTTTTTCTGCAACAAATGTGCTTTTAGATCTGGAGAGGTTGCTTATTTTCCTCATGTCAAGGAAACAAATTTGCCTGTTTTATCTTTGAATTATTTTCTCTCTTTATTGAGAGAAAACAGCACAGAGATGAGCCCCTTCTGGTGGTACCTATCTTCTAAACCTGTTTATCTTTGAGAATGTATCTTTTTCCTATTCATTCACTGTGATCACCTCCTCTTGGTAGTCCATTTATCAGCAGCAGTCATTTACTTCTGTATTGTTTCTAAATTACTCATACGGCAGTTATGGTGTCTTCCTCAGCTGGTTTCCTTAGATCCGTGGTTCCCTTTTCATCTCACTAGTTTCCTTTGTTATCTCAATTTTGAGCTGTTGGTTTTGTTGATATCTTCTTATTAAGGCGTTCCGTAGCTGGACACAGTTAAGAGGGTGCGTTCTCTCCTTGTGTTACATTCTCTTCTAGGCTGAGCTCTTTGTCTTCCTTCTGTAAGCCTTTTGTCGTTGTTTTACTGTTTGTTTATGTTGTAGTCTTATTATTTTGCTTGATGTTGCAGGTTGTATTCCTAGGCAAGGAGACTCTCAGGTGTGAGGATACTGGGCAGTGCTCTTGGGACCCACTCCTGTGGGAGAGTGAGGAAGCAGGTTAGGGAGGTAGAGAGAGAAGCTAGGCTGTGCTTTGTTCCAGCAGAGCCTTATCCCAGGGTCTCTGGAGCTGGAAGGGCTCAACAGAGTTGTCTTGAACTGGGTCGAGGGCCCTTGGCCTTTATACCTCTGCACAGACATGCAGGCTCGGAACACAGGTTGGGCTGTTGGCAAGGCAACTTTCTCCTGCTGAGGATGCTCTTGGGAAACTGGGGGATGAGGGCTTCAGTCCAGAAGCTGATGTCTGGGTGACACATCCGGCATCCATTAGAGTACATTTGATTTTCATGGTGGTGCTGTCCAGTCATTCTGTTTTCTCCGACAAGGTAGGTTAGTTCCTTACTCTCTTCTCACCCTATCTGAGATAGGTGTTTCCCGGTAATATGCAGTTTAGGGGATGAGGTGGTGGTGTTGGTGGTGGTGGTTTTTTGAGTGATAGTCCCTCTTTTTAGTAGCTGGACAGAATGACTGGGAGCCAGTGAAGGGCCGGACAGTGAGTGAGCCTGATGAGGTGATGTGCTGTCTTGTTAAGTATGGTTTTAGGTTGGGAGTAAGATTCTGTATCCAGTTGCCTGCTGCCATTTGTTAAAAGACCGACTGTCTTTTCCCTACTGCTCTGTATGGTCATCTTTGTCAAGAATCAGGTTTCCATGTAGGTGTGTATCTGTCCTGATCTCTGTTCTCTTTCATTGTCTGGTTAGAATATCATTGTGCAAATACCACACTCTCTCATTTGTTGTGAATTTAAAATCAATCCTGGGAAATTCCCTGGTGGTCCAGTGGTTAGGGCTCCGTGATTCCACTACTGAGTATGGGTTCAATCCCTGGTCTGGGAACTAGGATTCCAGCATGTTGCAGCCAAAAAAAACGAAAGAGAGAATACTGGCATCCAGCAGAATCAGTCCTCCAACATTTTTTTCTTCATGATTATCTTAGATCATGTTTGCTTTTGCCTTGAAATTCAGTTTTAGGGTCAATACAAAATACCTATTCTTGTTTGTAAAGAAAGATTTGATTTTGTAGATCAGTTTGTGGATAATTGTTCACTACAATGTGGATTCTAATCCATGAACTTTATTTAGGGCTTCTTTCATTTTTTAAATACAGATTTATAGTTTTCTATGTAGAGGTAGTTCTTGGAAATATTTTATTAGATTTGTACCTGGGTATATTATCTTGAAGAAAGGAAACCAGTGTAATGAATCTTTTTGTAGCCATCATCCAGTTTCAACAAGCTTGTGACATTTATATCTCTCCTCTTCTTAATTCCAACATCTCCCCCCAGATTATTATGAATTTCTAAAGGATAAGAAGGACTATTTTGTTAAAAAAAAAAAAACCACAGCAATATCATTTCATGCTTAAAAAGGTAAAAATAATTTTTTATTCCCATAAAATACCCAGTTAGTATTATTTGATGTCTTTGGGTGCTATTGCAAGTGAATACCTTTAAAATTATTATGTTCTTTGTGTCTTTATGATATATAGACCTAGAAGTGATTTTTTTCACATGTTCATCTTTTATCCAGTAACTTTGTTAAAGTTATTTATTAATTCTAGTCATTTATCCCCCAGTTACTTTGGCTTTCTACATATACAACTGTGTTGTTTGTTAATAAGACAGTCTGCCTCAAGGGGCAATAGAAGTTTGCCCAGTTTAGCAATGATCAGTTTAAAAAATGGAAAAGAAATGAGCAATGAACAAATTTGATGTTTTCACTAAGACAGAAAAAATAGTCTAAGACCTTTTAATAACCTTTTAATAAGTTTAATAAGCTTTTAATAACATAACCTTTTAATAACCCCTGTCATTCTGTTATATATTGTTTTCAAAATTTTTTCATCAGTTGCTAAAATTATTTGTTATTCTGTATTCTTTGTAGCTTCCCATCACCAATTGTTCTTGGAGTTGGACAGGTAAGTGAAAAAAGATAAATTAACCTCTTAATTATTTGTTAGTACATATGATGAAATTGTAAGTGCTTTTGTTTAAGACTGTGGTTTACGAATTTGTTCAGTTGGCAGAGGACTGTGGTACTTTGGATGAGACAAGGTGAAGTATTGATACATTTTATTTCATTTTACAATTTAGGAACAGTTGTATTTGTAGGGGAAACTTCCTTAATAGAATTTAATTACTCTGAAGTAAGGGGGCAGCAGACTGGAAGCCTCCAAGGTCTGCTGGGTTACAGATGAGTGAGCACAGTTGAAGTCACTGTGCTTATTTAAGAAAAGGATTGGGGAGATGAGGTGAGGCTCACTAGGAATCAGGGAAATTTTATTTTCACAGCAAACCTCCCAATTTGTAAATGGTGGCAACAGATTCATATTTTTTCATAAACCTGTCTATGGGCCAAACGAAACAGGTTTACAGTTTCCTTCCTAAACTTCATGATGTTTGTTCTCAAGTGTAAGGGTAAGCTTGGATAAACTTTCAAACTTAACCCGCACTTGGCTGTTTCTGAAATTTTCCATTAATATTATTTTTTGACTTGCTTACATTTTTTTTTTCATATGCTGGTGATTTCTAGTAGACAAATGTTAATAGGTACTGAAGGTTTTTTTTGTTTTTCTTTAGTTTACAAGGAGAAAAAATTATAAAAATTATATCTGTTAACTAAATTTTAAATTGTGAATCTGGAATTTATACAAATAAACATTATTCTAGTTAAATGTTTTGCTAATAAGATACTCTTTGCACATCATTTTAGGGTGAAAAAAATAACAAGGAAACAGTGTTTCCTTAAGGTAATAAAAAATATCTCTTTATGGTTCAGTGTGAAAATATGTTTAAAGAAGTACTTTAAAAGATCAATAGTATGTGGTAATACTCCCTATGAAATGCGCAAGGCAAATACATTCAGTGTCTTGTACTCAATTAAGGAAAAAACCTTTCTGATTTGCAGTTTGTAAGGGAAGAAGTCAGTAGACCAAATTTTAAAAACTTCAATTGCAGAATAATTTCCATAGTGTTGGTATATTTCTGTTAAGAATTATAAAGTAAGTCATAAATACAAACTACAATTATTATTCAGAGTGGGCTTGAGTTATGTAAATCTATCATAAGTATCTGTACACTCAGGCTTGAGGTTTAGGACAATAATCATGTTGAAGGAGTCCTTATGTTTTTGCATCCTAATATGGAGAAAAGTGAATAAGTTCTAAAATTTGCATAGAAAGATGATATTCAAACTTTTTATTTCAAAATAATAATCTGGAGTATTTCTGATATACCTGGTGTAAACCAGCTGAATAGCATTTGAATGAGATATTTTTTGTAATACTGGCTAAGTGGAGAGAAAATGTGTTCTGTGTTATAGAAATTGTGTACTTTACAAAATATGTTTATGTGTGGAGTTTGCCTCCCTTCCCCACCTTGTTTCACCCCAACACTTACTTTGTGGGGGAAGGTGACCATATGCTCAGAACATGGGAGGTACCGTCCAGGATCAATAGGCAGCCTCACTGACTGTGGTCACGCTGGTCTGTTTGGGGCACACCATTGATTCTTCCCTGTTCTTCTTCCTTAAGCCACTTGAGATCACGTGTATATGTGTGAGTCTATTTGATATTATACTTTTTGCCTATAGTTCTAATGCAATTTATGCAGTGACAAAAAAAGTTAATATTTTAAGGAATAATAATTTTTTTGGAACCTAGAAAATAGATTTTTCACATACATATGTTTTTGGTGAATCTCTTTTCTTCTGATGATATATTTGTACCTCAAATAGTCTTTCTAGATATTTTGCTGAAGTTTTTCTCTTCCCTTTTCTTTAGATGGCAGTTACCATAATGATACTATACGTGTCCAAGCTAAATAAAATAATTCACTTTCCTGATTTTGACAAGAAAATTCCTACAAAGGTATGTGATGGAAAGTACATGTAATTATGTTGGGAGATGTGAAAATGCTATAAAATTACAAATTGATCTTAGAGTACAGATCCATTTCCATACACCCTGTGCTTCCTGCTGTTCAGAAACTTTTTAATAAAGATTTCATATCATTCAGTGGTCCACTAATGTAACATGATAGTAAAAGTGTGTGCTTAGCAACGGATATTAAATAAATACTATGTGTCTTCTGAAATAGCAAAACTCTCTAACAGAAATTGTCAAGGTTGTTTGGTAAAGGACCAGATGGCAAATAATTAGACTCTGTGGGCCAGACTATCTCTTTTGCAGCTATTCAGCTCTGTACTTTGAAAGCAGCTGTAGATGATATGTGATATGTGTATAAATGAATTGATGTAGTTGTGTTCTAATAAAACTTTATTTGCATAAATAGAAGATGAATTAGATTTATCTCTTGGGCCCTCCCAGTTTGCTGATCCCTGCTTTAAATTTTCATTTTTAGCTTGGGTAACTAAAACCTGTGAGTGGAATAAACAGTAAATACAATTTGATATACATAGCCCCCCCCCCCCCCCGACCTCCCCCCATGGTAGAACTACAAACATGAGACCTGCCATTTCTTCCTGGGTATGTGGAATGGAACTAATTTTATTGAACAGTTGCTAGGTGCCAGGCATGAGGCCAGACATTTAATTCCTAGAACAATCCCCTGCGACCGGTGGTATTAAATGGATCATGGTGACATTTTTGGATTTAGGGAGGTTAAATCAGATTGCAGTTCCTTGAAAGTAAAGAGCTCAGATGGTTTGTTCACTCCATGTCTCTAAGGCCTGGAAAAACATTGGCATCTAGCTCTGGATTATTCATCAGGATGACTAAACATGCTTACAGCATCAATAATCAGGGAAATCCACACAGAGAAAAACAAACCACTGAAGTGTAGGAAAGGTATTAACCCAGTCATCATAAGAAAAATCAGAATATTGTTGGGTTTGCCTACACTTAGTTTATGATATAGTTTTAATTGCTTTAAACAATTGTGAAATGTCTAGACATAGGAAAAAAAAGGCATCATCCATGAATGTGTAATTGAATGAATAATTACCCTTGTAGTCATTACGTAGGTCACGAGATGGGGTCACAGAATCCTTACCTACTATTCTGACTTTTGTCGTAATGATTTTCTTGAGTTCTTTGTAAGTTTTCTAAGTTTGTATGTATGCTTGAATTTAGTTTTGCCTGTTTTTGGAGGTTATATAAAGGGAATTAACCTATACATTTTTTTGTATCTTGCTTTCACTTTATTATGATGGTAGGATTCATCTACATTGTTGTGTGTAGCTGTATTCTTTTATTTTCATTATATAAATATAATTTATCTGTTTTACTGTTTATGGTAATTGGAGTTGTTTCTGGTTTGGGCACTAGAAAAATAAAAAGTACTGTTATGAATGTACTGAGAGTTGGATCTTGATGCAGATGTATTAGTCAGATAAGGCTCCCATCACAAAATACCATAGACTAGGTGGCTTAAGAAAAAGGAATTTATTTTCTCACACTTCTGGAGGCAGGAAGTCCAAGATAAAAGTGCTGATAGGGTTGGTTTCTGGTAAGAGTTCTCTCCTTGGCATATAGACAGCTGCCTTCTCACTGTGACCTCATGAGGCCTTTATGCTGTACCTATGCACTCTACTCATCTTATAAGGACACAGGTCCTATTGGATTAGGACCCCACACTTATTAGCTCACATAACCTTAATTACCTCCTTCCAGGCCCTATCTCTATCTGCAGTCACCTGGGGTCTAGGGCTTCAAGATGTGAGTTTAGAGCAGACACAGTTCAGTCCAAAACAGCACATGTGCATGTAGTTTCTTTGGGAGGCTTGTCACGAAGTGAAATTGCTGACTCCTAGAGTGATGCTTTTGAACTGTGGCGTTGGAGAAGACTCTTGAGAGTCCCTTGGACTGCAAGGAGATCCAACCAGTCCATCCTCAAGGAGATCAGTCCTGGGTGTTCATTGGAAGGACTGATGCTGAAGCTGAAACTCCAATACTTTGGCCACCTCATGCGAAGAGTTGACTCATTGGAAAAGACCCTGATGCTGGGAGGGATCGGGGGCAGGAGGAGAAGGGGACTACAGAGGATGAGATGGCTGGATGGCATCACCGACTCGATGGGCATGAGTCTGAGTAAACTCCGGGAGTTGGTGATGGACAGGGAGGCCTGGCGTGCTGCGATTCATGGGGTCGCAAAGAGTCGGACACGACTGAGCAACTGAACTGAACTGAACTGAGAGTGAGCATATTGTCACCTTGAAAAGATAATGGCAAACTGTTCTCCCAAGTGGTTGTACCAACTCACACTCCTGACAAAAGTGTATGGAAGTCCCTATTGCTCCTGATTCTTGCCAATGCTGGGTGTGTAATGACATCTTCTTGGCTTTTATTTGCATTTCCCTGGTTATTAATGAGGTTGAGTGCCTTTTCATTTTTTGGTGCCCATATGAATATTCTCTTCTGTGAAGTACTTGTTAAGACTTGTGCCCATTTTTCTGTTGGGTTTATGTCTTTTTCTTACTGAAATGTGTAGGAGTTAAAAAAAAGTATTAAAAATATATTGATGATAGTCCTCTTGTTAGCTATTGTAACATTACAAATATATCTTCCCCTTCTGTGGCATGTCTTTTTATTTTCTTTATTATGTATTTATCTTATATCTCTTTATCATGTATTCCTTATCATGAAAAAGAATCTTAATTTTATTTTATTTTTTTTTTCCCATTTATTTTTATTAGTTGGAGGCTAATTACTTAACAACATTGCAGTGGTTTTTGTCATACATTGAAATGAATTAGCCATGGATTTACATGTATTCCCCATCCCGGTCCCCTCTCCCACCTCCCTCTCCACCCGATTCCTCTGGGTCTTCCCAGTGCACCAGGCCCGAGCACTTGTCTCATGCATCCAACCTGGGCTGGTGATCTGTTTCACCCTAGATAATATACATGTTTCGATGCTGTTCTCTTGAAACATCCCACCCTTGCCTTCTCCCACAGAGTCCACAGGTCTGTTCTATACATCTGAGTCTCTTTTTCTGTTTTGCATATAGGGTTATCATTACCATCTTTCTAAATTCCATATATATGTGTTAGTATACTGTAATGGTCTTTATCTTTCTGGCTTACTTCGCTCTGTATAATGGGCTCCAGTTTCATCCATCTCATTAGAACTGAAAGAATCTTAATTTTAAAACAGTTATATTTCATCAGTCTTCCTTAATAATTAATCACTATTTTTCTTACTAAGGAAATTTTTCCCCATCCTGAGATTATAAAGATATTTTTCCAGATAAAAAGTATATTGTTTTTCAGAATTAGGTTTTTAATCTGTTTGGAGTTGATTTTTGTGAATGGTACGAGGTACTGGTCCAATTTCATTTATTTTTTTCCAATTAGGTAGTCAGTTGTCACAGAATCAGCTGAAAAGTTTATCCTTAATGTTGTGCCACTTATATCATGATACTGTTGTTTCTGGGCTCCTATGCTTTTTCATTTGTCTGTGTTTCTGCACTGTTACCTCACAGTCAAAATTACTATCGCTTTATGCAAAGTCCCTTGTGGCTCAGCTGGTAAAGAGTCCGCCTGTAATGCGGGAGACCTAGGTTTGATCCCTGGGTTGGGAAGATCCCCTGGAGAAGGGAAAGGCTACCCACTCCAGTATTCTGGCCTGGAGAATTCCAGGGACTATACAGTCCATGGGGTCGCAAAGAGTCGGACACAACTGAGAGACTTTTACTTTCATTATGCAAAGTCTTGCTGTCTGATAGAGCAAGTCTTTACCTCCTGAATTCTTCATTCTTCACATTTGTAGATGAATATTAGAAGCACATTGTCAAGTTTCAGGAAAAATAACCTGTTTGGATTTTAATTGGGATTGCATTGAAGCTCTAAAGCAATTTGGAGTGAATTGACATCTTTAAAGTGTTGAATCTTACAATCTATGTACATGGTGTACATAAAAGTGAAAGTATTGGTCACTCAGTTGTGTCCATCTCTTTGTGACCACACAGATTGAAGCCCGCCAGGCTCCTCTGTCCATGGAATTCTCTAGGCAAGAATACTGAAATGGGTTGCCATTCCCTTCTTTAGGGGATCTTCCTGACCCAGGGATCAAACCTAAGCTTCCTGCATTGCAGGCAGATTCTTTACCATCTGAGCCACCAGGAAAGCACATACTCCCCTTTAAATTGCCCTCAGTAAAGTTTTATAATTCTCTCTATATATGTGCGTGTGTTAGTTGCTCAGTCATGTCTGACTCTGCAACCCCATGAACGATAGCCCTCCAGGCTCGTCTGTCCATGGAATTCTCCAGGCAAGAATACTGGAGTAGGCTGCCATAGAGTTCTAATATTTTTTGTTGGAAGTAGATTTTGTTGTTGTTGTTGTTGCATATATCATTTAAACAGGGAAATTTCCTGATCTCCTGTGTTGGGATTCTGCAGTTCCATTGCAGATGGCATAGGTTTGATCCCTGGTCAGGGAACTAAGATCCCACATGCTGCAAGGCATGGGCGAAAAAAGATTATTTGGAAAGTTAGAGGTATGTTGACTTAAAATTGTTCACAAACCTTAAATTTCTGAATTGTAGTTTATTCGGCCGAAATTTTTAGGACTTCAAGCCTGAGAGGCAGCATCTCAAGTAATCGTGAGAGAACCACTCTGAGGAATTGAGTCAGGGAGCTAGGACATATAGGAGTTCTGCAACAAAGTGACGATAGTCTGAACTTCAAACAAGTCCTGTTAATTAAAGAAAACCAAATATGTTAACTTAAGGTATATAGCACTTTTCTGTGTACAAGAAGATGCAAAATCTGGGCTTGGAAGTCATTCCTTTGATATGCACCTCAGCTATCTGGGCCAGTATCCTCTTTTCATATCCTAAATTTCCTTAAGTCTCATGTGGGAGCAACTGCAGTCTGATGGCTTCCATATGTCAGGTTTTCTTTCCTCCCTGAATTCCCTCAGGCCTCACCAGCTCACTATAGACTGTGGCTGCACAGGTGATGGCTACAATAGCTGATGACCTTTGTTTAGTGATCTAGCACGAAATAGTCCATTTCTCAGGTACACATGTTCATCTTTCTTTTGTATATTGTTTTTGTATCTGCAACATTCTTTCATTTCTTTTACTTGCTTTCCTGTACAGCATAGAACCTGCAATTCAGTGTTAGAAATGTAAATACTGGGCATTTTTGTCTGATCTCAAAGGGAAAGCTTTTAATATTTCGCCATTAAGTATGTTGTTTGCTGGAGGTTTATTTGAGATGCCTTTTATCTATGTTCTAGTTACCTTTTGCTGTTAGGACATAGACCCTACTTCTGGATGGAAAGAGAAAGTGGCTCAGTTGTGTTTGACTCTTCGAGGCTTCATGGACTATACAGTCCATGGAATTCTCCAGGCCAGAATACTGGAGTGAGTAGCCTTTCAGTTCTCCAGAGGATCTTCCCCACCCAGGGATCTAAGCCAAGTCTCCCGCATTGCAGGCGGTTTCTTTAGCAGCTGAGCCACAAGGGAAGCCCACCTCTGGGTGGAAAGAAGTATCAAAGTCACATTTTAAGAGTGTGTGAGAATGGAGATACTGTTACAGCCATTATCTCTGATTATGGATTTGTCTGTTTCTCTTGGGATTTGTTAGGTTTTTTTTGTTTTGTTTCCTGTATTTTGAGACTGTATGATTAGGTGCCTAGGTGTTTGTTTGTTTGTTTGTTTTTTGGCCCGCTACACAACATGTGGGGATCTTAGTTCCCTGACCAGGGATCGAACCCCTGCACCCTGCAATGGAAGCACAGAGCTCTAACCAGTGGACTGCCAGGGAATTCCCATAGGTGCCTAACATTTTAAGTTAGTTAAAACTTCCTAGTGCATTAAAGTGTTTACTTGCACTAGGTGGAACTCTTGTTTCACTTCTCTTAGTGTTTTCCTGGAATTCAAAACGGGCATGCCTGACTTACCAGATTATAATGGTGAATGTATTCTCCCTGTCAACAATGTAAGGACTTTCACTCCATTTACCTTTCCTCCCAACTTATATGCTCTTGCCACTAAGTGCTTTAACACTCTAGATCTCATCATACATTTTAATTTTCTTTTGAGAAAATGTCCATTTATATTTACGGCTTCCTTTGTTTTTCTTTCCTTTGTGGATCTCACACTTGCCATTTTCCTCCTGACTGAAACCAGCTTCTTTAGAATTTACTGATGGTCTGCTTAAATTCTCTTCATTTTTGTCTGAAAAAGGAAAAAAAATTCCTTTGTTTTTGAAATATATTCTTGTTTGAATTCTGCTTTGGCAGAGCTTCAAAGATGTAATTCTGCTATCTCTGGCTTCCATTGTTTCTCTCTGGGTTTCTCTTTTCCTTTTGTTTTTGACCTAGGAGTTCCTCACTATCTTCCTAGTCCTTTCGTGCCTTTATGAAGGTTTTAAATTATTTTGCCTAGCATTTTTAATTGTTTTCAGCAACGGTATTAGCACAAATAATTTTGCCCAAGGTTACCAGAAACTAGAAGTCAGTACTGCCTTTATTTTGAATTCTATATGGTAGTAGGGGCAACTGATTCTCTTCAATACCTAAGAACCTCTGAAATTGTAATATCACCAGCTGTATGATTGAGTCCGTTGTACACTGTTCACCAGAATATTGTTGACCAGAAAAAAACACACAACCTGAAAGTTGAGAATTATGTTTTATTTTGAAGACAAAATGAGGACTTAAGCCCAGGAGGCAGTCTCTCAGCTGAGATAGCTCTGAGAGAGTGCTCCAAAGAGGTAAGGGAGGAGCCAGCATATGTAAAATTTTTTGCAACAAAGATGAGATAGTTGGAACTTCAGAAGATTACTGTTAATTAAAACTGTGTAGTCAAGACTATGGTTTTTCCAGTTGTCATGTATGATGTGAGACTTGGACGATAAAGAAGGCTGAGTGCCAGAGAATAAATGCTTTCTAATTGTGGTTGTATTAAGGAGTCCAAGCTGACTTTACTTGCTACATGGTAGACCAATAAATCCAAGAGATGAAGCATTGAAACAAAGAAGGGACTTTATTTGGGGAGCCAGCTGACTAAGAAGACAGGCTAGGCCTCAAAATAACTGTCTTGTTGAGGCCTGAATGCCAGGTTCTTTTATGGATCAGAGATGGTGGGGAGGTAAGGAAACAAAGTAAAGAAGACCATTTAATTATTGCAAATATCTCCTAGAGTACAAGCCTCAGGCAGGGGGATGTGTTAGTTTCACTTCTTACACCCCTTCACAAATCAAATCCCTTATACAGTGGAAGGGACAAATTATACAGTGGAAGTGACAAATAGATTCAAGGGATTAGATCTGATAGACACAGCGCCTGAAGAACTATAGGCAGAGGTTCATGACATTGTACAGGAGGCAGTGATCAAGACCATCCCCAAGAAAAAGAAAAGCAAAAAGGCAGAATGGTTGTCTGAGGAGGCCTTACAAATAGCTGAGAAAAGAAAAGTGAAAGGCAAAGGAAAAAAGGAAAGATATACCCATTTGAATGCAGGGTTCCAAAAAATAGCAAGCAGAGATAAGAAAGCCTGCGAAGAAATAGAGGAAAACAATAGAATGGGAAAGACTAGAGATCTCTTCAAGAAAATTAGAGATACCAAGGGAACATTTCATGCAAAGATGGGCACAATAAAGGACAGAAATGGTAGGGACCTAACAGAAGCAGAAGATATTAAGAAGAGGTGGCAACAGTACACGAAAGAACTGTACAAAAAAGATCTTCATGACCCAGATAACCACGATGGTGTGATCACTCAACTAGAGACAGACATCCTGGAATGTGAAATCAAGTGGGCCTTACGAAGCATCACTACAAACAAAGATAATGAAGGTGATGGAATTTCAGTTGAGCTATTTCAAATTCTAAAAGTTGATGCTGTGAAAGTGCTGCACTCAGTATGTCAGCAAATTTGGAAAACTCAGCAGTGGCCACAGAGACTGGAAAATGTCGGTTTTCATTCCAGTCCCAAAGAAAGGCAATGCCAAAGAATGCTCAAACTTCCACACAATTGCACTCATCTCACATGCTAGCAAAGTAATGCTCAAAATTCTCTAAGCTAGGCTTCATCAGTACGTGAACTGTGAACTTCCAGATGTCCAAGCTGGATTTAGAAAAGGCAGAGGAACCAGAGATCAAATTGCCAACATCCATTGGATCTTCGAAAAAGCAAGAGAGTTCCAGAGAAACATCTACTTCTGCTTTATTGACTGTGCCAAAGCCTTTGACTGTGTGGATCACAATAAACTGTGGAAAATTCTTAAAGAGGTGGGAATAACAGACCATCTTACCTGCCTCCTGAGAAATCTGTATGCAGGTCAAGAAGCAACAGTTAGAACTGGACATGGTTAGACTGGTTGAAGATCCGGAAAGGAGTATGTCAAGGCTGTATATTGTCACCATGCTTATTTAACTTATATGCATAGTACGTCTTGTGAAATGCTGGTCTGGATGAAGCACAAGCTGGAATCAAGATTGCTGGGAGAAATATCAACAGCCTAAGATATGCAGATGACACCATCCTTATTGCAGAAAGTGAAGAAGAACTAAAGAGCCTCTTGATGAAAGTGAAACAGGAGAGTGAAAAAGTTGGCTTGAAACTCAACATTCAAAAATTAATGTAACGGCATCCAGTCCTATCACTTCATGGCAAATAGATGGGGAAACAGTGGAAACAGTGACAGACTTAATTTTGGGGGGCTCCAAAAATTACTGCAGATGGTGACTGCAAGCATGAAATTAAAAGATGCTTCCTTCTTGGAAGAACAGGCTACATTGTTTAACCTTGGTAGATATTTGCTTATTCCAGGCCTTTAAGACAAAGTAATGTGGCCAGCATACACAACTTTTTGAAAGCGTCACTAACTATTTGACACGTCAGTGAGATATGAATCTTTGTCTTCGTCCAGAAAAATGCTTATATGCCTAGATAACAGAAGTTTGCACACTTTTCAACGGCTTTCTGAACCTCATTCATAAGCTATATTTATAGAGTTTATAAACTATAAGCACCCATCCTCAACTCACCAACCTGGCTGGGGTCTCCACCAAGAGGGGTGCTTGTTCAGAGCTATGTTTTAGGGAAACAGTTTGCTAATATGGGCAAGGTCAATATTTCTGTTCCTGTCCACCTTCCCCACCACCACCAGCATTATCGATATCACTTCAGACCTATTTTTTGATCACATAGAGAAACTTATATGTGTTCTGGATTCTGGAAAATTTAGTCATTGCAAGGAAAGGAACTCTGAATGATTTGCTTTCTGATGGGGAGTGAATGTCACCATCTTTATTGATGAGGGAAAATGTTTTTGGAGTTCTAACCAAATATTCTTTCTTTTTTTATTGAAGCTCTTTCCTCTGCCTCTCCTCTACGTTGGAAACCACATAAGTGGATTATCAAGCACAAGTAAATTAAGGTAGAGTGCAAAATAATGGTTGCTTGGCGATTTTTCACTAGTTTGCTTTTAGTGTCACGGAGATAAACTGATTTTTCAAGATATTGCTTGGGCTATATATAGAAGATAATAATATTTCATAATTTAAGGAAGTAAGGTAGTTTTGAGTTTGATAATGCTTTAGAAATGTTAAAAAGCTGATATAGTTTTCTTTATGTCCAAGTCTGAAGATAGAATGTGAGATCTGTAGAAATCAAGATAGAGAATGTATGAGATTTTCCAGGAAGATTCATTTATACAAATGTGGTTCTGTGTAACTTTTGATTCCATCACAGTTTTATAAAAGCAGGAATACTCAGTCAGTTTTCGTATAGTTCAAGTTTGGTAGTAGGAAAAATTAATGACGTTATTTTCAAGTATGTGATACATATTTCTGAAATTTGCATTTGCATTTATTCTATGGTCCTTTGACTACTTTGTTAATAGTCACTATAAAAATGAAAATGGCAGTGTACACTGAACAAGTCATCCTATAAATTGGAAAATGTGGTGTGACATATGTAGCCTAATGAATACACATTCGGGACACGAACCTTATGAAAAAGATGTGAGTAATGAGAAAATCAAGTTTATGTAAAGGGTGACAGAAGCGGAATAAAGTCTGTTAGTATAGGAAGAGTAGAAAAGAGGCAGGTAGCAAGTAGACCAGAAGGAGAAAGTACATAGAACACTGAGAAGTGTGAAATGGGGCCTGTTGCCTTTCAGTCTTGATTGGAAAAGGCAGATTGTGGCCGTTGTGAAAAACGAAATGTGCAATCCTGTTTATGATTATGCCTTTGAGTTGTTTCCTTCTGGGATTAGGTCAGCCAATTTTCCTTAATTATCTCAAATTTGTATTAAAGCTTCCTGTGCTGGTGCTGTCTTGCCATGTAACCTCTTGGCCAGTCTCTGAGCCCACTTGCAGTGTGGGAGTGCCTTCACTTACCCTGATAGCTGCCCCGCTCTTGCACTGGGGGTCTGGGTAGATGAGGGTTTCTTGTTTTTAGTGATCTTAGAAACATCTTTATTAGAAGTGTTCTTCAGTACTTTTCTGCATGCGTAGCAGAAAAGGAAGGCTTTCCGCAAGTAAGACTGAAAAGAAAGGAAGGAAATTGCTTCTACATGGTGTCATGTGGTATTTCTGTCTCCCCTGTTTTCAGTAAACTGGTAGTTGGTTCTAGAGGCTTAATCAAATTCAGATTCAGTTTTTCAGGCAAGATCAGTTTATTAGTGATGTTGGATTCTTTCTTCTGCATCACTTCATAGGGCACATAATGTTTTATCCCACTTCTAATGATATTTAATTGATCAAAAATTCTGTCTAATGATTTTAAGGGGTCAGTCTGGTTCCTTCATTAGAACGTTCCCCATCCATTTTTTACTTAATGAGTTTAGCACACATTGATGATCATTGTATAGATACATTATTTCATTACAAATTGAAAAATGATGATTTTCTAAACTATATCTCCCCTTCTGCAGTTATTATCTAAACTTCCTCAGTGAATACAAATTTTCATTCACCATTTCATACAGGAAAGGCAGGATAAAAGCGTTATTTATAAGCATTCAGAGTAATAAGCCAGTGTTGTGTCACCTTCAGTAGTGAACTGCTGTTTTTTTGTTTTGTTTTGTTTTTTACCAGCATTATTAACTCATGAATTGTTATTTACAAGTCCCATATGACATACACACTTTGCAAATATTTTCTCTCAGTCTATAGCTTGCCTTTTCATTCTCTTAACACTGGTTCTCAGAGCAGAAGTTTACATTTTAATGACGTTCCACTATCATTTTTTTCTTTCATGGATTATGCCTTTGATATTTTATCTAAAAACTCATTGCCAAACCAAGGTCATCTAGATTTTCTCCTACATTATCTTCCAGAAGTTTTATGTTTTACATTTAGGTATATGGTCCATTTTGAAGTTAAGTTTTGTGATAGGTATAAAGCCTGTGTCTAGATTCAATTTTTTTTTTTTACATGGAGATGTCTGGTTGTTTGAAAGGCTAGTCTTTCTCCCTTGAACTGTATTTACTGCTTTGTCAGAGATCAGTTGACTCTATTTGTATGGGTTTATTTCTGGGCTGTCTATTCTGTTCCATTGAGCTGTTTGTTTCATTTACCTAATGTTTTAGTTCATTATACTCATCTTCTTTTGATGCTTAAATTGTATTATCTGAGGTCAGTGGGAGCTCTTTGAGTTGGCTCCTGTGTTCTAGGGCTCCAATAGGCTTTGATTACTTCCTTGCTTCCTGGCACATGATGTCCAGGTTTATCAGACTTTTTCTGCCGTTTCTCCAAGGGTCCCCTGGTTATTTTTGTTTTGAGAGTGAGGCCATAGTATGGATGCTGGATATATTTGGAAGGAAGGGCTAACACAGTATCCTGATGAATAACATACAGGGTATGAGAAAAAGAAAGACCAAGATGCCTTCCATGGTTTTGGGCTCGATTAAGTGCTATCAACTGGGTCCATCCCTGGGAGTGGGATTGCTGAGTCATATGTGTTTTAACATTTTAAGGAACTGCCAAACTGTTTTCCAAAGTGGCTGTACCATTTTACTTTCCTACCAGCAATGTATGCGGGTTAGTTTCTCTACATTCTTTGCCAAATTTGTTATTGTCTGTCTTTTTGATTATAGCTGTTGCAGTGGTTGTGAAGTGGTATCTCACTGCGGTTTTGATATTCGTTTCCCTGTTGATTAATGATACTGACCATATTTTCATGTGCTTATCAGCCATTTATATGGCTTCTTTGGAGGAATGTCTATTCAAGTCCTTTGCCTATTTTTAATAGGGTTATTTATCTTTTTATTATTGAGTTTTAAGTCTTTATATATTCTAGATACAGGTGCTTTATTATATACATGATTACAAAATTTTCTCCTATTCTGTGGGTTGTCTTTTTACTGTCTTGATGGTGTACTTCGAAGCACAGAAGTTTTAAGTTTTTAAAAATTTAGTTAATAATTAAAGTTAAATATACCTAATATAAACATTTTAACCATTTTTAAGTGGATAGTTTAGTACATATATTCACAATCTTGAGCAACCATCACCACTACCTATTTCCAGAAAGTTTTCATCATCCCCAACAGAAATTCTATACCATTAAACAATAATGCCCCGTCCCCCCTCCCCCCCAGTCCTGGTAAACTCTGTTTTACTTACTGTCTCTATGAATTTGCCTGTTCTAGATATTTCATACAAATGGAATCATACAATATTTGTCCTTTTATTATATCCAGTTTATTTCAGTTAGTGTAATGTTTTTAAGTTTCATCCATGTTGTAGCATGTATCAAAATTTCATTCCTTAGTAAGGTTGTCTAAGATTCTACTTAGACAACCTTTGGATCTATCATATGTTATCTATTTATAAACATTTACATTTTGGTAAAGTCTGATATATCTATTTTTTGTTATTGTTGCTATGCTTTTGGCATTGTGTCTAAGAAAACTTTGGCTGATCTGGGGTCATAAAGATATAATCCTATTCTTTCATCTAAGAGTTTTATAGTTTTCCTATATTTAGGTCTTTGATATATTTTGAGATAATTTTTTATATATAGAATGAGGTAGGGGTCCAAAATCATTCTTTTGCATATGAATGTTGAGTTGTTCAGCGTTATTTATTGAAAGACTGTTATTTCCCCATTGTATGGTCTTGATACCCTTATTAAAAATTAATTTAACATTTCTAATTAATTAGAAAGATTTATTTCTTGATTCTTAATCTTAATGCTTTGAATAAATGTTTATCTTTAAACCAGTACTAGATAATACTGAAAATTGTAGTTTTGTAGTAGGTTTTGAAATTAGGCCCACCAACTTTGTTCTTCTTTTTCAAGATTGTTTTGGTTTGTTGGTTTTCTTGCATTTCCACACTGATTTTAGAATTAGTCCATTGCTGGAGGAAACGGTGGTTGAAATTTTGATAGGGATTGTGCTGAGTCTATAGATTTATTTGAGAAGTATTTCCATTTTAACAACATTAAGTCTCTGATCCATAGCATGGAGTGTCTTTCCCTTTAATCTTCTTTCATCTTTTAACAATATTTTGTAGTTTGTAGTGTGTTCCAGTTCTTACACTGCTTTTGTTAATTTACTCCTAAGAATTTTGTTCTTTTTGATGCTATCATAAATGGAATTGCTAATTTCCTTTTTGGATTGCTCGTTTCCTTTTTGGGTTGCTCATTGCTAGTGTATAGAAGTGCAGTTGATTTTTGTATATTCTTTTTGTTTCATGCATACTTATTTCATTTGTTCTAATAATTTTATGGTTGACTTCTTAGGATTTTCTAGATATATATCATCTGAAAATAGAGACAACTTTCTTTTTTTCTGAACTATATGCTTTTTTTTTTTTTTTTTTTTACTATTTGCCCTATCTAGAAATTTAAGCGCAATATGAAATAGATGTAGCAATGAGAGCAAACATCCTAGTCTTATCCCTGATCTTAGGGGAAGAACATTCAGCTTTTTACTATTAAGTATCCATATCTGCTTTTATTTTATTATTATTAATTTTTTCTTTTTTGGCCACAAGGTACAGCTTATGGGATAGTTCCCCTACTAGGGCTCGAACCCATGTCTTTGGCACTGAGAGTGCAGAGTCCTAACCACTGGACCACCAGGGAATTTCCCTTGCTGCTTTTAAACGTCATCATCTAAAAATATTTTTTGAATTTGCTTGAAAATAATGACTTTTTTTAAAATCTCGCTTTGAAAAAGGCCATTCATAAGACATCTTTAAGTGCGGACATAAAGTTCCTGAAAATCCTTTCTGCACTGCTGTCTGGTTGTCGTGGGAAACCCCTCCGCAGGGCTGGTCAGGAGGAGCTGCCCCCTCTCCCTTAAGGTTCTGACTTTCCTTCTTTAGGTCCCATCTTCTGAGAGTCACGCTGGAAACTGATGGAGGTGGGTTTCTCCAGCCCTGGCATTCTGTGGCTGTGCTTTGAGCTATGTCCTGGAATCTCTGGGTTTTGAGTGAAAGGTTCATAAGTATTTTTAAAGGCAGTGAATGTGGCCTTTTACATAAAGTTTTTAGGGAAAATTGCCCGTGATTTTATCCTCTTGCATACTATTTTAAATATTAACTTTTAGTCTCTTTCTGTACATAGGATGTATCTTATTACAGTTGTAGACTCTACATAGTTTCGTTACCTCCTTGATTTATTTAACATTTGTTTTCTAAGAGTGGTAAAGTTTTATATTATAGAATTAGTGCATAATGTTCCCTCAAGTGGATTTAACCAGAATTTATTTGATCATTGCCTTGTCTGATATTTAGACTGTTTCTGATATTGTCCTGAAAGACACGACTGCAGTGAACATCTTTGTGCACATGAAGTTTTCCTTTTCTTTGAGTTATTATCTTAGGGTAAATTTCCTAATGAGAAGTAATTAGATCTGAGGTTAGGACCATTTGATGACTGTCCATACCTAGTCCTAACTTGTTTTATCCAAGGGTATATTGGCTCACGTTGCATATAATCTTTTAACACAATCTTTGTAATTTCAACACTTTGTAGTAGTTGGATAGTATGATGTTTTGAATTGCTAATAAGTAAAAGTGGCATGAAATTATTAAATTTCCATTTCTTTTTATTATTTTATATGACTTAGTAACATATGTGATAATTAAAGTTAACTCCTTATATTTAATTTAGAAAATTAATGGGCTTAATTAAAAATGTGAAACATTAAAAAAATACTTGTTGTCTAATGTTATTATACTTGATTCTTTTCTGACAGCTTGCCGATGTTCACTGTGCTCAGGAAATTTACCATTCCTCTTACTTTACTGCTGGAAACCATCATACTCGGGTGATTTTTGTTTTTCCTCTCTTCCTTTGGTGTCCTCTCCCCACACGCTCACATTATTTTTACCTAGCAAATTCTCAACATCTGGTCATCTTTACAAATAGTTGGTTTGAAGTGCTTGTTGTAATAAGTTAAGGGCCAATGGTTTATTCATTTAAAAGCAGACTCCTATTTCCATGATTTCTTAACATGTTATGAGTGTTTTTTTTAAAGTTATAATTTTACAATTAGACAAGTAATATGCATGTGTAGTAGAAAATTCTAAAAAAAACAATCACTGCCAAACAGATGTAAATCTGTTTTCTGAGCTGAATGGAATATACACTGATTTTGGAATGGCAAGGAATAGTTGTCCACATGTATAGTACGTGTGCTATACTATATAGTATGTGTCCACATATATAGTATGTGTGCTATACTATAGTAGGTGTGCAGAGGATCAGGGAAATTCATTCTGATGCAGTAATTATGATGTAACATCAGAATAAATTAATTCTTATAATGTTGATTTTAAAATTTCATGTAAAGATATTCAGGTTGACTCTAAAATGGTGATCCTTGATTTTGCTGTGGAGATTACTTAACAATGAAATTAGAATGTTGGTCCAGTGTTCTAAGTTTTACTGTTGAATTTTGTCTTAATCTTTGGATGCTTGATAAAAGTACAAACCAACTAGACCTACCAGCAGAAGCTCTTCTGCTTTTTTTTTAATTGAAGGATAATTGCTTTATAGAATTTTGCTGTTTTCTGTCAAACTTCAACATGCATCAGCCATAGGTATACATATATCTCCTCCTCCCTTTTGAAACTCCCTCCCATCTCCCGCCCCAACCCACCCCTCTAGATTGATACAGAGCCCCTGTTTGAGTTTCCTGAGCCATACAGCAAATCCTGTTGGCTCTCTCTTTTACATATGGTAATATAAGTCTCCGTGTTACTCTTTCCACACATCTCATCCTCTCCTCCCCTCTCCCCATGTCCTTAAGTCTGTTCTCTCTGTCTGTTTCTCCACTGCTGCCCTGTGAATAAATTCTTCAGTACCATTTTTCTAGATTCCGTATATATGCATTAGAATACGATATTTATCTTTCTCTTTCTGACTTACTTCACCTCTTATACATTTTGTCCCAGCATCTCTCTAGTGAGAACAGAGAAATACATTTGTAATTAGATTAAGACAAATACATAAGAAATAGAGTAAATTTGGTTTGATTTACTAATCCATTTAATGTGCTTTTAGTGCTCTTTTGACATAAAGCATTGTCCATTAGATTTTATGATAGCTATAAAACTGTTAACAATGTCTATTTTCAGTTTATTTAAAAGTATAATTTATATTTTTCCTCTCCTCCTCCTTTTCTTTATCTATCTACCTATCTATCCATCCACTATTTATTTATTACAGGAAACAATATTCCTTGAACATCATTGTCAGTGTCTTTGCCATCATTCTTGGTGCTTTCATAGCAGCTGGGTAAGACTTTGGACTATTTCTGCTCAATAACTCCTTTGTGTCTTTGACAACAGGCCTGGCCCTGTCCTCATTTTTCATTTTCCATCTGGTTGCAGTTGAATTGAACAGCTAAGAGACAAATCTGTTGATGTTAGTGAAACCTCCATATATTACTGTGAAAGTCAAACTGAGTTCCAAGTTGGCCAGAACATTTCCGAGAAATATGTATAGAGAGCATTACAAGATATTAATACAGCTTTTCTTCATAAAAGGAATGAACTGTGTACTTTTATTACTAAATGTTTGTCTTCAATATAAAAATTTTACCAAGAGTTTTGAGAAGTTCTTAGGCTAAGAATATAACAGATTTATAAAGCCCTTATATGCTGATTTGTTTTATCATCCGGTAATGCCTTAGCGGTCAATATTTCCAAGGGTGGAATACTCTCATTAAATGTATTTGTATGTTTGGGACATGAGCCAATACCAGTGTATGACTGCTATCTTATTCATTAATAAGCCTGACCAGGAATAAGGACTTCAAGTTTGCATCTGAAAGCAGGCACTCAGACTCCTTTTATAGCACAGTGTTTAAAGTGTGTGTGCAGTTACTTTTTTGGGGTTGGAAACTTAACCCTGCTGTCTGTCAGCTCTTTCTTAACCTCTCTGTGCCTGTTTCCTCATTTATGATACATTTAGCCATTTGTATCTGAGGCTTTTGCATCTGTGGATTTAACCAGGTGTGGATCAAAAATATATATTTTTAATTCCAGAAAATCCCCAAAAGCAAAACTTGAATTTGCTGTGTACTGGCAACTATTTACATGGTATTTACATTGTATTAAGTATTATAAGTAATCTAGAGGTGATTTAAAGTATATGGGAGGGTGTACATAGATTAGGGCTTCCCCGGTGGCTCAAATCGTAAAAGAATTCACCTGCAATGCAGGGGACCCAGGTTTGATCCCTGGGTCAGGAAGATTCCCCTGGAGAAGGGAATGGCTACCCACTCTAGTATTCTTGCCTGGAGAATTCCATGGACGGAGGAGCCTGGTGGGCTACAGTCCATGGGGTCAAGAGTCAGACACGACTGAGTGACTAACAACAACAACAACAACAACAACAGAGGTTACATACAAACTTTGCACATCGATTTATATAAGGGACCTGAGCATGCACAGATTTGGGTATCTGCATGTGGAGGGGGTAGAGGTGTGGGGTCCTGGAACCAATCCCCTGTGGATATGGAGGTACAACAGTAATAGAAGAGAAAAACCTACATGAAGTGAAGGGAAGAAAGAAAAGGTTGGAGGAATTTCAGTTAAACTAGTTTCATTAACTCATTTAGAAACAGGAGTTCAGGATCATCAATTGCAAATTAATGGTGTGGGCTACAGAGCCAGGATGTCTGGAACCTTATTCTAGTTTCCTCACTTACCAGCTGGATAACTAAGAACAAGCTAGTCAGCCTCCCTGTGTCTCAGTTATTTTGACTGTTAAGTGCAGATTAGAATAGCATCCACCTAATACGGTCACTTGTGAGAATTAAATGAGATAATAGTGAGCCAGGATTCACTCTAATTTATGGCTGAGTTCAACAGAAACATTTGAAGCATTTACTGTATGCCAAGCATCATTCTATGTGCTAAAGAATCCAGCAGTTAATAAAACAGACAAGAATTCTTGCCTTCGTGGAGTTTCCATCCTAGTAGATGGTGACAGATATTAGCAATAATAATGATGTTTATTATTGTTATATTGCAAATAGAAGGGGAAAAAGTGGAAACAGTGACATACTTTCTTTTCTTGGGCTCCAAAATCACTGTGGTTGGTTACTGCAGCAATGAAATTAAAAGACACTTGCTCCTTGGAAGAAAAGCTATGACAAACCTAATAGCGTATTAAAAAGCAGAGACATCACGTTGCCAGCAAAGATCCATATAGTCAAAGCTGATTTTTCTAGTAGTCATGTAACGATGTGAGAGTTGGACCATAAAGAAAGCTGAGTGCCAAAGAATTGATGCTTTCGAACTGTGGTCCTGGGGAACACTCTTGCGAGTCCCTTAGACTGCATGGACATCAAACCAGTCAATCCTAAAGGAAATCAACCCTGAATATTCATTGGAAAGACTAATGCTGAAGCTGAAGCTCCAATACTTTGGCCACATGATGCAAAGAGATGACTCATTGGAAAATACCCTGATGCTAGGAAAAATTGAAGGCAAAAGGAGAAAGGGATGGCAGAGGATGAGATAGTTAGATAACATCACCAACTCAATGGACATGAATTTGAACAAATGCCAGGAGATAGTGAAGGACAAGGAAGCCTTGTGTGCTGTAGTCCATGCAGTTGCAAAGAGTCAGACATGACTTAGCAACTGAACAACAAATTATTGTTATAAATGTGTTTAGTCCCTTACCTAGGCCAGGGTTTATTATTTGAATTTTTATCTGTAATTTCCTCTTCTCCAATTCTAGCTATGTCTGAGCTCAGTTCCCTTGAAAGCTGGCCTATTTGGTTTCAGTGCTGGTACAGATCTTAAGCAGCCACACTTAGAGCCTAAGTTTTGGTCATGAAGACTTTTGTTCAAACTATTTTGTTACATAAAATAGATACATAAAGTAGCTAAAAAGGGGATTGTTCTATTGAAAGTGCCTTCCTCCTACAGGGCTCTGAGGTCTCCACTGGGCCTCCTCTCTTTTCTAGGTTTCGAGAAGACCACTGACTTAAAAGTCATTGAAGACTTTTACAAAAATTAGTTTATAAAAATGTAAGTCTTTGATGAGGGATAGCAGTTCAGGTACTGTATGTGTGAAGGCACATTTCCAGAAGCAGTTGGTATGAATTCAGCTCATATTTAACATATGTGATAACTCTAATGAGCTGAAGGGGTAAATAGTGCTTCCTGAAGCATCGGACTTCTACCCAAGAGCCAGCTTGGAGTAGTAATTCTCCACTTTTTCTTCCTCAAACACCCACAGAATGGATAAACTTCCTATGGGTAATGAGTGCAGTCTTAGCTGCAGGCTAGCTGTAACCCCACCATTCTTTGCTGTCACTCAAGTTAATTCATCGAATGCAAGTACAGATGAGCCAGTTTGGGCTGCTATAACAAATAGTCCCCACATCTTGGTTGTTTAACATACCAAATATATCCTGCCCCCACTCCACGTACATACCAACATCAGCTAATGCCATGGGGGTGCTCTGCCCCTATAGCTATTCAGGGATCCAGGCTGATGGAGCCTCTGCCTCAAAGCGGGTTTCCTTTCTCATTAAGAAAGGAAGAAGGCATGTGGGGAATTGTACACTGCATCTCCAAAGTTTTCCCCAGAAGTGACATGTGTTACCAAAGCAAGTCACGTGGCCAACAACAGTTGAAACAGAATGTCTGTGAACAGCCCTAAATGACATCCCAAGGGTTAACCATGAATCCGCCCCCATTTATAACACAAGTAAATTCTTCTCAAACTTCTGTGCTTTCACAACTGGTCTAAACAGATGCTGTTGGGAATTCTTGGTCCCCCTCAAGTAGGAGATGTGAAAACTCTCAAGAATTCCCCTAAGGCTCTCTGAGGAAGTGAGTAAAAGACTTCCTTTCCATTCCTCTGGAATCTTCCATTTTTTGCCCATTCAACTCTTTGCCATCCTAAGGATAACAGATTCTTTTTTTTGTTTTGTTTTTTTGGTTATACAAAATCCTTATTTTATTTACACTGTTTTACATTTTCCAGACAATTCTAGTTTAGACTCTCAGGAGCTTCCATAGACTCTTGTAACATATACCAGTCCCCTGTAGTAATAAGCCCATCTTCTGTTCAGGTTCTTCTTTACACTGAGCTTAATGGGGTAGGCACGATTTGGAAAACTCTCCTTTGAGAGATTCTATTTTTGTGATTGAACCACAGAATTCCGATTTACAATGATTTAAAATTATAATGTCACAAATATATTTGTAGGTAAGTAATACCAGTGGAAGCTTCAGGCAAAGTCTGGTTCAATTTGCATTCCAATCTTGATGCAGTTTTTGCATATTTCCCTCTTTTTGGTTAGAAATATTCTGATACTGAAGGGGACGAGGATATGCCACTCCAAAATGTGCCACTTTGACGTAAATGTTATTTTGAGTTGAAGGCAATTGAGAATCAACAAGTGTGGGAAGAGTTCTCCGACCTCCCCTTTAAGTCTGCCTAAAAGAAGACCATAAATTTCCCTTTGTGAAGGTGTCCCTGGTCCTCGGTCGGAAGAGGAAAGCAGTTCTTATCACCAGACACAGACAGTCAGCATCAAGATGAGTCAGCATAAGCAGACTTTATTAAAATAACCCTTATCTTCCATAAGTTTCCTTTGTATATTTCCCAGTGCCTTTTCCACAATTGATTTATTCCTTGAGGCCCACACCCTCTGCTATGTTTATGTGGTATATAAGCTCCATAGTCTAACCACCTCTTTGAGTTTCATTTCTTTTCTGTGAACTCCCGTGCATGTAAAATATTTAATACAATTTGTATTTTTTTCTCCTGTTATGCTGTCTATTGTCAGTTAAGTTTACAGGCCCCCAGATACTGACCCAAAGATGGTAGAGGAAACCTCCTTGACAATATATAATTCATAAGTATATTATTCATACTTATGAATTATGACGTGGGTGTGGTACTGTTTGCAAGGTCAAGTGCAGGTGATGAATCATATCTGGGCTTAGCTGTTGTTTATTCTCCTGCCTTTGCCCTATTCCCCTCAAACATGTTTATACTAGTGTTGTTTATTTACAATGGAAATTGAAGAGATGGCTTCAAAGAATGGGAAGAAAGAGGCCTTAGAGGAGTTGCCTTTTTGATAGACAGGATAGGGAGGGTACTGGTGGTAAAGTGACTGGGGACCAGATGGACGTGTCAGTCCCTCATTTGACCTCTTTGGCCTGTCCCTGCCCGGCTGTCCCCAGAGGGCTGTACTCTGGGGATGGCCCTGTGTACTACAATAAGAAAAGCCACAGGTGGGTTGAACAAATCACTCCCTTTAGAAAAGCAAGGCTCATGCTGATTTATTAGCAAAACAAGGGTTTCCTAGTCAAAGAAAGATGGTTAATGTCTGTCTGGTTTTAAGCTGTTCTGATTAAGTTGAAGCCTCCTGGTGGCCTGATTTTGTTCTTGTCTGGAGGCAGGGGAGAAGAATTAGCCATTCACCGCCACACAGGGGGGAAGTATGTCAGAGAAAAGGCAGTCTTACTAGCACTACAAATGGATTTGATCAGGGAAAGAGAAAACAGAAGGCCTCTGAGGTCAAGCTGTGAGTTTCTGATAATCATATTCCTTTGTATTCTCCCTCCCAGTTCTGACCTTGCTTTTAACTTGGAAGGCTATATTTTTGTATTCCTGAATGATATCTTCACAGCAGCGAATGGCGTTTATACCAAACAGAAAATGGACCCAAAGGTACCAGATTTTCACTCCTTTGGCTTTTTGGCTTTGTCATCTGACCCCTGAAATAACATGAAAAAATAAACTTGTAAAGCGAGCATGTAATTTAATTTACATGTTATGATCTACAGATTACTGATTTCTTTTTAATTATACTGTGCATAGGTTCTTGTTATTCCTTGTCATGCAAAATTTTGGGTGAAAATTAGGTAGGAATGGAAAAACAGGCACTATTTTGGGTGCAAAGAAAGAATGCTACATAGAAAGGGGATCTTTTTGAAAGGCAAAGTAAAACTAGAAGTTTTTTACCATCACCATTAGTGATAAAGTAAAGTCAGGAATATTCTGAAAGCAGCTCTAATTTGAGAGTCTGGAGATGTGGGTTACAGATACAAGTATTGCTGAGAAAAGTGAAAGTGAAGGTCACTCAGTGGTGTCCGACTCTTTATGACCCTATGGACTATAGTCCACCGGGCTCTTTTGCTCATGGAGTTCTCCAGTCAAGAATACTGGAGTGGGCTGCCCTTCCCTTCTCCAGGGGCTCTTCCTGGCCCAGGAATCGAACCCGTGTCTCCTGCATTGTAGGCAGATTCTTTACCATCTGAGCCACCAGGCTGATGGGTTAATGTGACTGCACTTCTCCAAACCTCAGTTTCCTCTTCTGTGGAGCTAGATGACTGGAATGGATAAATGATCAGGCCCTTCCATGAGGGGCGGGCAGGCAGATGGGCTTTCCTCCCCTGTGGCTGCCCCTGGGTTGGAGCTCCAAACCCTTACCCCCATCCCAGCTGTGCCGGAAGCTCTGGAGGATGGGCCAGGCATATGTTCCTTTGTTCCAAGTTCTTTGTGTTGAGTGAGGATGTTTGCTGTGATGGACAGGCTTATTCCTATGAGCTGTTTTTTATCTGCACTGTATTTTTCTGTATTCTCATTTGTTTTTTAATGGCGGTTTTACAAAACTGGGTTTGTTGCCTTTTGAGAATCACAGTATGTCACCCTGTATGGAAAGTGGTGGATGTAGTCTCTTTAATGAAAATTAAATTTATGCACAATTGGAAACAAGATACCTGGTGTTTTAACCTTGCTCTTCCTTAATAGAAGGAGCAGATGTTTTTAAGAAGTTTTGTTTATATTAACATTTTTAATGCTATTGACTTTGTTCCAGACTTCCTGTTTTGAATAGCACGCTTAAAAAAAAAAAAACAATTAGCATGTTAAAGATTGGTGGAACCTCGGAGTCCATCCAGCTCCATCCATTTTATATCTCATTTTTTGGGTAAAACAAAAATTAAAAAAAAAATAATCACAGTATTCTTGAAATGAAGCGTTTTATTTTACACCAGAAATTTGCTGAAAATATTCAAATACAGAACTGGTCAGAATGTGTATTCTAACTCTGCATAAGTACATGGTTGTATAAATAGCTCCAGGCGAATAAATGGCTCCAGGAAATCTGACGCTTTATATTTCTAAAATTGAGTGGAGTTTTCTTGGCTTTTGCAGGAGTTAGGGAAATATGGAGTGCTTTTCTACAATGCCTGCTTCATGATTATCCCAACTCTTATCATTAGTGTCTCCACTGGAGACCTTCGACAGGTAAGCTGATGACAGTCATTCATTTTTACTTAGCAGTCTTCACAATTTTAATATTTAACCTGTAGTACTCATTAAAATAAAAAGTATATAAAGGAAAGAAGTGTCTAAAGGTAACTAGGATTTCCAAAAGCAAGATGTTTGATATCCTCAGTAATACCTTTGGCACTTTGCTTTCTTTTGCATTTGTCTTTAAACCCCGGGTCAGTAGCAGGATGTAGTCAAAAAAGCTCTGGCCTTGAAGCTTTTAGCAAGACAACAATAACTAAAATCTGGAGTTTGAATCTCCCTTTCCCCTTTGTTGGTATGAGGACCCTGGGAAAGTTAATTAACATTGAAGGGGATTTTGATAGTTTAAAAAATGGATTTACTTATTTATTACCTTTATTATGGACATTTGGAAACATACACACAAAGTAAAGAATGATTTGATGAGCTCGCATGTATCCATCACACAACTTCAGCATATTTTGGCATTTCACCATTCTTATTTCATCTGTTCTCATCTGCTCTCACTCCCCCTTCTTCCCCTGGAGTATTTTAAAGCTAATCCCAGACGTCATGGCATCTGCCTCTAAATATTCCAGGATCTGGAATTTTGAGAAGGTCTTGTTCTTTTGATATTTGCCCTGTTCACTTATCTGCTGCATACCTGTCAGAGACAGGTAAATTAGCAGAAGGATATGAGGTTCAGCTGGGGCATGGGGGTATCTCTTAGGAAGGGTGAATGTTCACCCCATAACGTCTTCAATGGCCACCTTGAAATGGAAGGGTGAATGTTCACCCCATAACGTCTTCAATGGCCACCTTGAAATGTGCTGGCTCAGAAAGTTGCCAGACAGACCACTTGAAGTTCATGTGAGAAACGAGGTGTGTTGGGCAAAACCCTTGTCCCGTGTGGCCTTCTGGCCTCTCCCACAGGTGCCCACCCCACCCCCCGCAGCAGTAGCCAGGCATTAACCCTCATTAATCCTGTTGTTGCTAGGCTGGGGTGGTATTGACAGCCCCCCACCCCTGCCACCACAGCAGACGCTGACCTTCCATATGACAGCATTTCTGTATTTAACAGCATGGTTATGTGGTGCACACTGGTTGAGCATCAGTGCCCCTTGTTGCCCGCTGGGGGTTTGAATGACTTCAGAAGTCACTCCTGGGGACTCCTGGGGTGAATATCAGGGCTTCTTGTTCCTTCTCAGAACTATACTTTCTCCCTTTTCTAATTCTTCTCTCAGAACAAGGGAATAGTGGACTGGCTTAGTAGCAATGTCCCCAGGGTCAAACATCCATTTCCATGTGTTTATATTGAAAACTACCAAGAAACACCAGTTTTAATATAGAAGTCTCAGTTTGTGAACCTGGGCCTCACTGTTAATTCAGAATATTGGAAGTTAAAACAAGCACCCCAAGTGTCTTTATTAATAATGAACAAGGGCAGAGTATCTAAAAACACAGTACTTTCAATTAAACCAATTTTGTGCCAGCAGCCTTACATAAACAAGGTGAAATTATGAGCCCTCTGTGAAGTAGTCCTATTGGCTTGCCTCATTTCATTATTGTAAAAATGAATTTTTCTTTTGAGTCTCTGGAATTTATCTCTTCTGAGATTCTGATGCTTTATAGCTTTTCAGATATATATTTATTTCTAGAATTTAAATCTAGAAACTTTTAGAACACTTGATTGAAACTAAAAGCTTATTTCGCCATAGAAACAATGTTATGAATGGCATAGTGACCAGAAACTGAATTTTAGATACCTTTTGAAAATAGACTACATGTATTATGTTAATAATTTATAACAGTATTTCCATAGGAATATGTATTTCTACATTCAATTTATTGACTTAAAAACTTATAGCATGGTGCTTTCAGAAGTTGCCACCTGCTGTAATTATTATTATGCAGAATTATTATACTTTCTCATGTAATAATAAAAATAGCTAATAACTACCGAGGAATCATTCTATCAGACATTGTTTGAAACAGTGTACATGAACTATCTCATTACATTCCCACAGTAGCCTGAGGAGAAGGTATTATTAATTATCCCCATTTTATATACAAGGAATCTAGGGCACAATATTTAAATAACTTTCCAAGGAAAGTAGGTGATAGATCCAAGAGGCTCTCTTGCTCTAGAAACACACCCTCTGCTGTAATCTCAATTTTTAAATTTGCATATTGAAAGTGTTTCTTTCCTTCATATATGAAAAAGCATGACCTATCACTGTAGCTTAGAAAGCATAAGAGACCTTAGATTTTCTTCAGCTTACTCAGTTCTAGTGTTCTAGGAGAATATTGTTTTCCTATTCTGACTTCCCATGCTGGAGTATCTCGGTATTTACCCTATCTAGCCTCTTCCATTTGATCAGTCTCTTAAGATTTCAAACAGAAGTTTCTATAGTTACCTTATAGCCCAAGCAATGATAATTATTCTCTGAAATTCCAGATGGATCAGAGCTAAATATATAGATTTATTTAAACATCTAAGAAAAATTATTATCAGAAAAAAATTTTTTTTCTGTAAGAGAAGGCCTCTATAAGATGACAAAAATACAAAATTCATTAAGTTAAAAATTTGACTCACTTAAACTTGTTACATGGTAAGAGATGCCAAAAGAGATGAGATACTGTAATCAGTAATTTTAAAAAACTCTGTAGGAAAACTAGTAAGATTTTCATTTCTTTCACTTGATTGTTCTGCCCTGTGTTCACTGAATCATCATGAATTTCTTCCAGTTGGTCACTTTTAACCATGGCTGAACCCATTTTAGACTGTGAACAAAATATAACAAAGTAGTGAACTTATGCAATTAGGTGTGTTAGTCTGCAATATAAAATTGCATTTTATTACCAAGTTTGGTTTGATTGTATTGAAAGTTGATCGATAAATTTGAGTGAAAGGTTAACTTCTCTTGTTAATGGAGTACTTTGATGAGTCATTTTTCCCAATTGACTGGAAGGGTCAGAGATTCTGTTGAGACTCATGTGTGTGACTCACTGTATTCCTGGACCTTGGACTTCCACAGTCAGCAGATCTGGTAATAGCACCTTGATTCTGTTTGTGATTAACAAAGTCAGTAATGCCAGCTCCTCTTGTTAACAAATTAGGCACCTGGAAAATAATGTGTAAACTTTCTTTAGCTAATCAAATCACTGCAGTAAGTTCAAAGTACATTTAATGTATTGCAGTTGATGAATAGAAATAAATAATATAACTTTTTTCTGATTTAAGAAAATAATGAAAAATGAAAAAGATTCATACTCCAACATACTTTCATAGAAATAGTAAGTTTAAAGCAGGAAGTACTTTATTGTTACTCATTTTAAATTATTTTCTGTTTTTAAATAAGTGTCATTCTATTTGATTTTTTAAAATGCCACCAGCATAGCTTCATCATTATTAAAGGAACAGAATAAAACTAAAATCTATCAGAATTGAAGTTGGCAATGAATCCAAATATTTTTTATGAAAATTACCACATAGCACTCAATGGCTTATGTGGTATCAAGAACATACAGTTTTTATTTACTGTTTTCATAAATACTCCCAGTTCTTTGAGTAGATAAGCATTTCCTATCTTTGGTTTGAAGTTTGGGGCATATGGTTTTCTCTTATTCCCAATTTTATTTAACTTTTCAGACACAGTGTTTTCCATAAGTTTCTGTTTTGTTTTGATCTTTTGACAATCTTGACATAACATGTCCTAGATGTTTTCTGACCCTTTGATTGGCTTGGGTCTTGCCAGTAAGACAGATTTATATTTATTATATTTTTTATGTCAAAAGTAAGTGTTAAAAAGAAGTTTTATTATGAAAACTGTCAAACCTATTCAGAAGGAAAGAGAATAGTATGCAGATCCCATGTACCCATCAACCAGGTTTGGTGGTTATCAACATTTAATGTGTATTTTTTTCATAAGGAAGGTGGGCAAAGTATTACTCATGAAACAGTGACAGTAAAGTGTGACGAGGTTGCAATAGTCAGAGAAGAGAATTCCACTTTAATTGGTTTAAAAATTTGAACTGCAAACTTAAAGAAGACTTAGTGTTAAATCTATAAAGTTACTAAAACTTGGCTTGTAACAAAGTATTGCTAAATAGAAAGTGAATAGAAGTCATATTTAATCTTGTTATGCAGCACATTGTGTTGAGTCACTGTAAAATCAGTTTTGGATTCAGGCAAGGGAAAAATCATGAATACAATACTTCTTTTTATGGTTACCTATCTTTTCAAAAGGGTTAATTTTATTTTCTCACCTAGGGACTAAGAGAAGAAGCTGAGCATTAAACTTCTCTACCAGCTCCTTTACCCCAGTTACTTGATTGGTTTGTAAATAGGAAACAATAGTTTATTTGTTCTTGATACTTTTAAGCATTTATAAATTCTTTTTTTTTTCCTTTGCTGCTTTTAGTTTCCTGACCAGGGATGGAACTTGGGCCCCGGCAGTGAGAGTGCTGAGTCCCGGCTACTGGGCCATCAGGGAATTCCCCTTCCACCCTTTTCCTTTTGTGCGAATTCTTGAAAATAGTTTGTGAACTTAAAAGTTTTCTTAGTCTTGCCAACATTATTAATTTTATAATAAACTTTCTTTTAAGATTATTAAAAAGTGAACACAACCTTGATTTTATGACTAGAAATTAGTAAAAATTTAAAAGTAACCACAGCAATAATAGCTGTAATTTTGTTCTTGCCACCTGCCAGGTTCTAAACTGTTTCATTAAATCCTCACATTGACCTTTGAGGCAGTTTTTAAAATAATAATTCCCATTTTGTGAAATGAGCCTCAGGTTCAGAGAAGAAAAGTAATTTGCCCCATGTCTCACAGCTGATATTACCCAGGAGTTTTGAAACTGTATTTTTCTGTTTGTGAAAGTGGAATTTGTACTAGAGTGTGCAAATTGATAAAACCAGTATTATTACTCTAACCATTAGTTTTCTTTGCTTTTTTTTTTAACAATAGGCTACTGAGTTCAATCAATGGAAGAATGTTCTGTTTATCATACAGTTTCTTCTTTCCTGTTTTTTGGGGTAAGAAGCCATAGATAAGAAGAAGCTTTGGTCTGTGGTATCTCTTGATAAGTCAAATCAAAATATATATTCTCTTTGCTTTGTCAAAATCCCTTAGCCTGTGCTTCTCCAGCTTTTTCTGAGACATAGGCCTTTAGCTGCCCTGGAGAAGGAAATGGCAACCCACTCCAGTACTCCTGCCTGGAAAATCCCATGGATTAGGGAGCCTGGCAGGCTACAGTCCATGGGATCACAAAGAGTTGGACATGACGGAGCAATTTCACAAAGCCCTGTAGCAGAGGAGTGGATCGGGACCCATGACCTCCAAAATATGATGTTGCCTATTGATTTCTGAAAGTTAGTTTGAGATAAAGTCAGCTCACCTATCACATTCAAATGTGTTTTTTGCCTTTGTCCCAATATCCCGAGTTTCCCAAGATTCTCACCTCACATAAAATATGTGGAAATAACCATTTTCTGTAGTGCTGTACCTGTTATATTCAGGGTGTTTTCTGAAGAGATTTGCTAAGGCCACTGTCCAATAATTTTAGGCTTTTGTTCTTAAAATTTTCCTCAGGTGTATCATTCTGTTGAGGGGCCTTGCAGTTTGTGTCTTTTTATATGTTCCCCAAACTTGAAAATTCCCTTTCATTAATAGATAATACATAATTTAAAAGCTGCAAAAGGATGCACAGGAGAACATAAGCTACCCTCCATTCTTCCCTGCCTTGTGGTGCTCACTGAAGTTTTCCTCTTTAGAAGTTTTGAAGAGACTTCCTCTCCACTGCTTGAAGTCTTCGAAGTATCCTTCCTGGGCTGGGCTCCATGTACACGCAAGCACCTGTGTCTTACCCCATGAGAAAGGGTATTTGAATGACTGTTTTGGAATTACTTGTCCAAAGATTATTCCTGTGATGAAAGATGAATTTCCCCTTATTATTATTTTTTTTTAATTACTAGTACTACAATTTTCATTGTTGTGTAGATGGACTGAGACAACTCATGATCTCTTTGATCAACACTCTTCAATTCTTAAACTTGATCTTAGTTGCAATAATGTAGTCTCATACAGTAAAAGTGTTTATGTATATTTTCCAGCTCAGTAATTCCTTCTTTAGCTGTGTCTGATTTAATGTTTAACCTATTTCTTGGAGTTTTAAAAAAATTTATAGTTTATTGAGGTATAGTTGATGTGCAATAATATATAATGGCAACCCACTCCTGTGTTCTTGCCAAGAGAATCCCATGGACAGAGGAGCCTGGTGGGCTATATAGTTCATGAGGTCGCAAAGAGTCAGACATGACTTAGTGACTAAACAACAGCAATTATATATGTTTCAGGTATACAGCATAGTGATTCATGGTTTTTAAAGGTTATAGTCCTCCATTTATAGATATTATGAAGTATTGGATATATTCCCTGTGTTGTACTATATATCCTTATAGATTATTTTATACATAGCAGCTTATACGTCTTAATCCCCTATTCCTTTCTCGCTCCTCCCCACTGGAGTTTTTGATTTTAACAATTTTATTTGTAAAAGTTCCACAATTTTTAAAAAATTTAATCTATTCATTCATGACATTCTTTTGTTGGTTATCTTTGTGGCTGTATCTTTTATTTCTTTAAATATTACACACATAGCTATTCTGTATGATTCCAATATCTGCAGTTATTGAGAATCTAAATATATAGGTTGTTGACTCAACATGTGTTTGTGAATGTAATTATGATTTGTTTTCTCGGGTATTTGGTGACCTGTGATTTGTAAGCATATGATTCAATCTTAATCGTTAAGATTCATCTTAATTAATCACAGTTTTGTGGACCAAAATTAGGAATTTGAGAAACTTTCCTGAATGGACAGATTGTTTTTAGTCCTGTTGGTAGCCAGGGGTGCTCCTGACTTGGACCACCCAGGCCTTTTTATTTATTTATTTATTTATTTATTTTTATCACAACCATAGTGTATCTTTTTTTTTTTTACATGTATTCCCCATCCCGGTCCCCCCCTCCCACCTCCCTCTCCACCCAATCCCTCTGGGTCTTCCCAGTGCACCAGGCACGAGCACTTGTCTCATGCACCCAACCTGGGCTGGTGAACTGTTTCACCCTAGATAATATACGTGTTTCAATGCTGTTCTCTTGAAACATCCCACCCTCGCCTTCTCCCAGAGTCCACAAGTCTGTTCTATACATAGGAGTCTCTTTTTCTGTTTTGCACATAGGGTTATCGTTACCATCTTTCTAAATTCCATATATATGTGTTAGTATACTGTAATGGTCTTTATCTTTCTGGCTTACTTCGCTCTGTATAATGGGCTCCAGTTTCATCCATCTCATTAGAACTGATTCAAATGAATTCTTTTTAATGGCTGAGTAATATTCCATGGTGTATATGTACCACAGCTTCCTCATCCATTCGTCTGCTGATGGGCATCTAGGTTGCTTCCATGTCCTGGCTATTATAAACAGTGCTGCGATGAACATTGGGGTACACGTGTCTCTTTCAGATCTGGTTTCCTCGGTGTGTATGCCCAGAAGTGGGATTGCTGGGTCATATGGCAGTTCTATTTCCAGCTTTTTAAGAAATCTCCACACTGTTTTCCATAGTGGCTGTACTAATTTGCATTCCCACCAACAGTGTAAGAGGGTTCCCTTTTCTCCACACCCTCTCCAGCATTTATTGCTTTTAGACTTTTGGATAGCAGCCATCCTGACTGGTGTGTAATGGTACCTCATTGTGGTTTTGATTTGCATTTCTCTGATAATGAGTGATGTTGAGCATCTTTTCATGTGTTTGTTAGCCATCTGTATGTCTTCCTTGGAGAAATGTCTGTTCAGTTCTTTGGTCCATTTTTTGATTGGGTCATTTATTTTTCTGGAGTTGAGCTGGAGGAGTTGCTTGTATATTTTTGAGATTAATCCTTTGTCTGTTGCTTCGTTTGCTATTATTTTCTCCCAATCTGAGGGCTGTCTTTTCACCTTGCTAATAGTTTCCTTTGTTGTTCAAAAGCTTTTAAGTTTCATTAGGTCCCATTTGTTTATTTTTGCTTTTATTTCTAAAATTCTGGGATGTGGGTCATAGAGGATCCTGCTATGATTTATGTCGGAGAGTGTTTTGCCTATGTTCTCCTCTAGGAGTTTTATAGTTTCTGGTCTTACATTTAGATCTTTAATCCATCTTGAGTTTATTTTTGTGTATGGTGTTAGAAAGTGTTCTAGTTTCATTCTTTTACAGGTGGTTGACCAGTTTTCCCAGCACCACTTGTTAAAGAGGTTGTCTTTTTTCCATTGTATATCCTTGCCTCCTTTGTCAAAGATAAGGTGACCATAGGTTTGTGGATTTATCTCTGGGCTTTCTATTCTGTTCCATTGATCTATATTTCTGTCTTTGTGCCAGTACCATACTGTCTTGATGACTGTGGCTTTGTAGTATAGTCTGAAGTCAAGCAGATTGATTCCTCCAGTTCCATTCTTCTTTCTCAGGATTACTTTGGCTATTCGAGGTTTTTTGTATTTCCATACAAATTGTGAAATTATTCGTTCTAGTTCTGTGAAAAATACCGTTGGTAGTTTGATAGGGATTGCATTGAATCTGTAGATTGCTTTGGGTAGTATAGCCATTTTGACAATATTGATTCTTCCAATCCATGAACACGGTATATTTCTCCATCTGTTTGTGTCCTCTTTGATTTCTTTCATCAGTGTTTTATAGTTTTCTATGTATAGGTCTTTTGTTTCTTTAGGTAGATATACTCCTAAGTATTTTATTCTTTTTGTTGCAATGGTGAATGGTATTGTTTCCTTAATTTCTCTTTCTGTTTTCTCATTGTTAGTGTATAGGAATGCAAGAGATTTCTGTGTGTTAATTTTATATCCTGCAACTTTACTGTATTCGTTGATTATCTCTAGTAATTTTCTGGTAGAGTCTTTAGGATTTTCTATGTAGAGGATCATGTCATCTGCAAACAGCGAGAGTTTCACTTCTTCTTTTCCTATCTGGATTCCTTTTACTTCTTTTTCTGCTCTGATTGCTGTGGCCAAAACTTCCAAAACTATGTTGAATAGTAGTGGTGAGAGTGGGCACCCTTGTCTTGTTCCTGATTTCAGGGGAAATGCTTTCAGTTTTTCACCATTGACACCCAGGCCTTTTTGAGGGTCTGGGCTAGTGGGCTAGTTGTCTCTTCTCATTTGAGGTTTGGCCCAGGGCTCAGGCCCAGAGAGTGTTGTTTTGCAGTGGCCTCTGCCCTGATGTACTCTGACCCTGTACCCAGCTTCTCCTGTTTTCAAAGGAGGGATTTTGGGCGACCTCTTGTGCCTCTTTCAAAACCAGTATTCTCTCGAATAATGTGTTCTTTCCAGGCATTGGTTGTTTGGCAGTGGTGAGTACTGAATGCCGTCAGTACTTATGCAGCCATTGTTGAATGCCTAACCATAGTAAGATATTTATATCCCAGTTGCTGACTGAGAACAAATAATTTTGGAAAAAAATCTACTAGCCTGTGTTTGTGAGTTACTCTTTGTCAATTACCTTCCCCCCATTCCAAATAATAAAAAATTGAGCTCATATCACATAGACTCTGACTGGTACCTTTCCTTCCCAAAGCCTATGTTCACCTATATGTAAACAGTAGAGTCAAGTTTTCGTTTTGTCTTATGTCATTAGAAACTTGAGATACGGCTTTTTTTTTTTCACTTGCGCTTTACTGTGTAGCCATTACATTCAGAAAATCAAGAAACAAACCCTTTGATGTCAGCTATCTGCAGTGAGTGGTGGGGTAGGCAGTGCCTGGATGTGAGTTGGCAACTTCTGGGGCTTCTTTGTCAGAATCTTGACCCCATCTGTCTACAACTCTACACATTTTTTTCCAGTTAATAGTGTGCTTCCTAGAAAACAAAGACTCTCTTGATAAATATTTTTAATTATTATTTGATCAGTAGTCATTTTGCAAGTAAAATCTAATAAAGCCATAGTAATTAAAAATAATCAGTAAGTGATAAAAACAATATTTCAGAT